CCCACAACAGGGACAGATGGCTCCTGCCAGGTAGATGCCCGCAGGGGAGTGGACAACTCCAGCTGAGCTGATGCATCTCGGCACCTGATACAAGGCTCAGGTAAGGGAGCTTGGAGCTGGGCTGTGTTTTCATCCTGTCTTTTCTGAACTCACAAAGCAGCTTTGGAGCAGATGAGAATCACCCTGAGAGCCATTGTGTGCTGTGGGTACACATGCTAATAAATTAGCAGGATCTCATCTGCAGTGATGCTGAATCCCCTGGTTTGTTGGGATATTGCTGATGGCATCAAAGTGAGTTGCAGTTCTCCTTGGGTGTTCAGTATCTCTACTGTAGGAGGTGACCATGTTTTTATGCAGCACAGCGTCCTGTGCAGTTTCAGATACAGTGCAAGTTTACTAGGACAGGACCTCATTCGAATTTTCTGTAACACATCTGTGATTCATCTAAAGTGATCTATGTGCAGTCATTTTCAAAGACCCCAAGACAGTTAAAACATAAACCTCCCTGCAATTCAGGTGGTGCTCCTTATGCTCTTCAAACAAACAAAAAAGCTTGTGTGCTCTTGGACTGTAGTCAAGGAAATAAACATACAAACAGGATGTCCTGTATCTTGGTTCATCCTGCTTGGTAGTAATTTCATTCCTGAAGTCATAATTCACTTTGTGGATGCAGGTCTTGATTTCCGTTCCAGTGATGGGATTTTAAGCATGAGCTAGGTTTGGGCTAAGGTTGGTGATGCACAGAGCAGTGATGTGTTGTTTGGAAGCTGGTGCCTGGCCAGGATGTTTGCAGTCTGGGTTTGTTAGTGAGAGAGGGGCTGCAGATGGGGATCAGCAGAAATGGGTTTCTAGTAAAAAAAGTACTGCAGCAGCAGCAACACTGGAGGTGGAGATGCTGGTCAGTCTTGTACCAAGACCTCAGGAGCAGCTTGACTTCCGCGTGGGGGCTGGTTCTCACGAAGCAGAAGCTCTGCCTGCAGTCAGCAGCATGTGGCCATCACTTCCTCGTCCTCTTGTCACCTCTGGGGCACACGGCACACAGCCATGCGTGCCAGCTCCTGCCTGCAACAGCCCAAGGCCCCTCCTGGATATCTTGGGAAGCTCTGAGGTTTCCTCGGGCCGTAGTGATGCAGTTGAAGCAGTCCCAAAGCCATGCTCATTTTGGCTGTGCTTGGTAGGTACGTGCAGTGGTGTAACCCCGCAGCTTTGCTTCTGAAAGGCTTTAAGCGTGTGGGAGAAGATGACAGCTCCCCTCGGGTTGCAGCTGCTGACTATGTCTGGTAAATTTTACCAGGCAACCAGGATGGGCAGTTTGCTCCAAGCCGTGAGTCTGTGTGGTTTGAAGGGTGTCGAGGTGCATTTCATACACTTAAAAAAAACCACAATAGGGTTTTTTAGCCCCTTGTACTGCTTTGCATGCCCGGGTTTATTCCATGGCGTGCAAGTGCACGAGTCACCTTACGACTAATACTGGCTTTAGAAGTGAAAGCAGTGCTTTGCTGGGAAGTGGTGCAGACTGCAGGTGTGAGTCGTGAGAGGGTCTCACCTCTTAGCAGATGTTACATAAGCATTTTCATTTGCATAGATGCATAAGCCTTTCCTTTAAAACTGTTCCCTAAAGGAAAAATTGTAGGCTTTTAACATAGATGGCTAAAGACATAAAATGCTGTGTTAAAATGTTCTTTTAAAATAGAACATGAAACAGGAACAGTGACTTGTTGAGTTTCAGCAGTGGTGGATGTGGTTGTAGTAAGTATGTACCTTTTTTTACTTTATTCCACAGCAGTAGTTTCAGTCTGATAGAGGACAGAATGATGATGAAGTACAGTGTGTCAAAATGTGCTTTTTTTTTTCTTCTCCTAGCAGCACTCTCTGTTTAAAGGTAAATGGGCACATTCAGAATGTGAACACACATTCACCTAAAACCATTTCTCCTTTTTCAATGACCGTCTGCCACATAACCAAAACAGATAGTCTTAATCTCAAATGTCTTGAGTAAATGCTGTTTTACAGTACAAAAGATTTAAAAATTGGATTCCAGAATATCTGCAAATCCAGCCCAGGATTGAGAACATGTTGCTATGCTATGCTTCCTAAAAACAGATTTTACTGATATTTTCATTTCCAAAAGCAAGTACTGGCAGGGCAATTGCTATTGGATTTATAAGCATGAGACAGAGTTGTGACTGGGGGTGACAGGGGACATGTGTGTGTGTCCTGGGCAGTGTCATTGCTGGGCCATGGGAAAAGTTTGGTTCTTCGTCTGGGCAGCGAGCAGGGTTGCAGCAATGGCCTGGGTGACTGATGGGCAGATGCTCCCATGCTCCCAACCAGGCTGGTCCCACTGGGTACCACCTCATGTGGGGCAATGGGAGCTCGGCAGATTTGACTGGAAGAATATGGGGAAGGTTATAACAGTAAATCTGCTTTATGGAGAACATACACTAAGTCTTGGATTTTTGATGCAGACACCTTCTTCCCACTGCCAATGCTTGAGATCCCAGCTGGTGAATTAATTTCAGGAAAGTTGTCTTCATCCAAAAATTTGGTATTTTATTTCAGGTTTACTGATGGCTAGATAGTGTTCAATGCGGGTAGGTAGTAACATGCATTTTCATTAAGCATCTTTAGGCTTGCTCTTGCTGGGATCAATTTTTACTTCTTTAAATTGTAAACTGGAAGCTGCAAGTTTTAGTATGTAATTGTGAGATGACAGATTGTGGGTGTTTTCAACTTGTCCTTTTTAAAAGGAACTACTTGATAACTTTGTTTCCCAGTTGAATTTAAGTGTGCATGGCTTGGAGCTTTCAGTTGCTAATGTCCCAGTAAATTTACATAATACCATTGTTGCAGTGTTCACATTTTCTTACTATTCCTGTTCATAGAAGCTTCATCTTGTGTATTTGTCATGGAGAAAAAAATCTGTTTGCTAGGAAAATACAGTACTGGCGGGAGAAAACTGGGTGTCAGGCTTGAGAAAATAATTTGAGTGGTGTTACAAAATGAAAAAAAGGAAGTATGCAATCATATTATAGGTATATGGAGAAGCATGGCAAGAACAGCCTGTTCCTTTTTGTAGGGAGCCTGTTTATATCAAGGAAAAAAATTACGTGTTTCTTCAAACCCTTCAGAAAATAAAATGTCTCAGTAGTTTCCGTGTACACAAGGTGTCATTTTCCTCAAGCAAATGCTATACGGCATCATGGTGTCAAACTGCTCTGGAGTCTGAGTATGTGCAGAGTGAAATAAAAACAATATCCATATTCAATATAGGCTATTACAGAGCTGAGCTGTATTCTGTTCCCTCTCTAGAGTACTTTGAAAATCCACCTACTTGAGCACAGCACTGTCTCTGTACTCCACCAAGCAGCAGTATTGTGATCAGACGCTGAGGCTGGTGCAGCCACTTGCTATCTCCGTCCTTCCCACTGCCATCAACCATTTTCTCTGCTTTCAAGTTTTTTTTTAAATTTGGGCTTTTGTACTGTTACAGTAGAAAGAGAAAGCAAATGTGCATACTCCAGGCATGAGATGCAAAACTGGCTCGTTTGCACCAGTCTGGTGTTTCTGGCTGCAGAGAGGCTTTTGCAGAGGTGGATGCCAAAGTATATGTGTTCTTGCTGCTGTCCAGGTTGCTCTACCTTTGATTATTCTATTACAGAGTGTGGTCAGAGATGTTCAGAATAGCTTTCACTTTGTAAATGTCTTGAAAAATTTCCCGTTTAATTTGATGTGCAGTTTATTTTTGCCCTGTAACCTGTAGAATATTTGTATTTTTAGCAGCACATAAAGGACATAATTTGAATTTTTTGGCCCCGTAACAATGAAAAAAACAGTGTCAGAAGTGGGGGAGTGAAATTGCCTTTGAGTTAAACTTCACAGGAGAAGGAGGAGATGCAGATATATTAGGTGACACTGTGAGACAGTTACTCAAACCTTGCTACTTTGAAAAATTAAGGTGTGATTAAAATGTATTGAGCAAAATTCACGCGTGAAGTAAGAGCTTCAGCTTGGAAAAAATAAAGGAACAAAATATACTTTAATATCTCTACCCTTGCTCTGTTTTGATTGTTGAGTCAATTATGAGGAAAGATAAACCCATTCCTGTCACGAATTTGAAGAATTTGCTTTTTTCCAGTGTCTGTGTGGATTAGTGTCAAGTAGTGCCATGCCTGTACTGTTGGCTGATAATAGGTCACTGAAGATCTGTCCTGATAGCCCTGATTATATTGCATATGGTATAATATTTCTATCGCAGTGCTGGCAACTTGGCTGCTTCCAAAATGAAGAGTTAGGGAAAGATGGATCTCCCAGCCGTCTCCATCCATGCCTGAAAGACATGGCAACAAGCAGGTTGCATTAAGGAGCTGTTAAGATGAGATAAATAATCTCTTGCAGATGTCTGAAGGTGTGGAGAAGTGGGCTGAGCCTTGGAGAGTGCTGATGCTTTTGCTCATCATATCTTCCCCAGATCTTTTCCCCTCAAGGAATAATCACATCCTTCAGAAGATCCCAAGTGTGACGCCTTTGGCTGCTCTGGCTTGTTTGGTGGCAAGCACCACTACTGAGATGCAGCTTCAACCAGAAGCTGGGGTAGGCTGTCCTGTGACAAGAATCCTTAATGTTCCTCCTAAAGGGAGGTCCCCCTAAAGGATGGCTCCTGGTACCCATTAGAGAGCTGCAGTGGTCCAGAGATTTGGGTAATGTGGCCTGCAGCAGCCTGTCTTTAGCCTCCCCTTGCTCAGGTTGGGTTGTGTGGCTGTTATCCTCGTGCAGGGAGTGGGGAACTGGCAGTCCTGCTGTGTGCAGGCAAGCTCTGCAAATGCTTTGTACAGTAGGTTTTCAACCTCAGCCTAATTTTAGCTATTTGATATGGATGGGAGCTAAAGTTTTCAGCAAGCGTGTTTTGTATTAGTGCTTTTCTAAATACTTCTCATGGTGTCTACACATTTATGTATCTCCTTTCCCCCCCACCACCCTTTTGTTTTTTTTTCTTACAGCTTCTGATATGAAGAAGGATATAGAGTCTTTAATAGCCCAGGAAAAAGCAGAGATCGTTGCCAAGTATGAGAAGGTACCAGCCTCAAGTCTCTCCCCAACATGCTGGCTAAGGCTGAAACTATTTAGTAGATAGGAATACTTTAAATAAGAATTTCTTCCCTGCAGACATCGCCCCAATAACCCTCACGCCATCAGGCTTCATGCCAGCTCTCCCTGCATTCTTCTGCCAGCACATCCCCTTTCACTATATCCCTGGAGTTTCTTGAGGATCCTGCGTGTGTGCTCAGTACAGATCCTGAAAGGTGCTCAGCTTCTAGTGCTTCAGTGGTCCCTTATTATCAGGACAGCTTGTGCCCGACAGCCTTGGTTTCTCTGATGTACAGCCCTTCCCAGCCGGTAGCAAAGGCATACCTGGAATGTTGGATAGGCTGAATTGCCCGTTTTTCTCTTCCCTGTGTTGGCTTTGTCTCTTTAGCACAGGTTTTGCATTTCTCGTTCTGTGCCTTTTAGCCTGTGGGGAGAGAGGGATATGGGCTCTGGGCATGGGATGAAGTCATTCCTGACGCTGGGACCAGCTCACAAATGTCCTTTCTGCTTTCAGGGCAGACAGGAAGGAGCTCCGATTGACCACTGGGAAGATGCCGATTTCGCCCTGTATAAAGTTACAGACCGGTTTGGATTCCTGCAGTAAGTCTCCCTGCCCAATCCTGTCTCCTCTGGCCTGTGTGTGTGTGCAGACCATCCTTCTGCACCGAGCGTGACAGGCCCAGCATCTTTCCTATAAACTGCTCTGTGGGTTGGCTTGATCAATCCCAAATGCAAGAGGAAAGATGAGATGGGGCTCTTTCCTCAGCTGCGCATGTTCAAACACTGATGCTTTGAATCTGCTCTAAGGCAAGGCTCAGAAAGGGTTTCCTATCACAAGCCTGGCATTAGAAGGTGCAGTCTGGTGCTCCTGTGGCTCCACGAAGGACCACGGTCTGTCAGAGAGGGAGAGGCTCTTGTGTTTGCACTTAATGAGTCAGGGAGGTACAGGAAGAGATGAGACAAGATATCTGATCATCTTTGGTTCCCTTAGGAAATCCCGAACCAAAGCAAGGCACAGATGAATTAGATGCACGCCCTGTGCCTGGGAAGAATGCTTGAAAGAACTATTTCTGTTCCAGATCTGAACAAAAGCTATAATAGTAGGCGTTCTGTGTGTAGGAGTGGGGTTGGAACCAATTGCTGTCCAGAAATTCCTCTTCCCCGCACTTTTAATTTCTGATAATGTGTGTATTGAAGAGGAGCTGTATGCTCGGGATTTCCAGTTATGTCCAGTGCTTGATTACCCCCCGGGAGCTCCTGTTGGGTAGTGGGGTTTCTTGCCCACAAAGTAACCAGTGACCCCTTGATTTTCCAGTGAGCAGGAGCTGCCAACCCGCACCGCCTTGGAGGAGAAGGTGAGAGCTGCCAGCTCCGTCATCATGGATGTGGCATCCTTATCACACCATCTGGGGAGGGAATGTTTTTTGAGGAAACAAGTGTGCAAGTGAGAGCAAAGCAGGCAGTCAGCACCCACTGGTCACTGCTGTTCGCCCAGAGGTGGGAACTCTGCACGATGCCTGGCTGTTGGAGCTTTTATTTTCCTGAGTCAGGCATCTCTTCCTCCACACTGCACTGAAAAGCACCTTTTCAAGCAATTTTGGGCTTTTCACTCTGCTTTGGCACAGTGCTCAGCAGCTGTGGCTTGAAAAGGGGACTGCATGTGCAGGGGAAAGAGGTCATCTCCATCCTCATCTGCCCTGAGATGAGAGCATGTCCTCCGTTAGGATCCTCAACAGCATCACGTTTCTGCCAGTCTCATACAGTGATACAGTTTGAGGCTAGCTGAACCTGCAGATATTTTTACTGTCAAGGAATACTACTCTTGGAAATACTTCCTCTATGTTAAGCAAGTGTGTCTCTTCATTTCTTCCAATGCTGCTTTTAATGACCATGGGTTGAAATTACCAGTTTCTGCAAGCAGCAGTGGATTATTCCCATCTCTAATGTGAAGTCTTTGTATAGAAGTTTAAACCTAAGAGAATGAAATTTTGTGTTTTCAGGAGGTATTTTCTGGGACTTTTTTTCTTAAATTTGTCTTCTCTTCCCTCCACCAGCAAAAACAGCAGGAAATTGAACGTGTGGACAAGTGGCTTAAGATGCTGAAGAAATGGGGCAAATATAGAAACAGTGACAAGGTAAGGAGGAAAAGAAAGAGCATGTGTGTGGAAGAGCAGGTCTGATACATCCTTATGATGAGTCAGGCTTTCAGAAAGTTGATAGAGAAACCAGAGATCATTGGAACATTGCTTAATTCTACTTGTCGGTCTTTAATATTTTAAACCTTTCCTTGAAATTCCTGGATTACCAGTTGAGGGAAAAGTCCTGTTCTGACTTACATGGTTTTAAAAAGGGTTTCCTAAACGTTGCTGATGTGTTTGCACTTCTGCTTCCCTGTGCAAGCAGGAGCACAGCAGAGATGTTTGTGTGTCCAGCTGGGTCCCTGCCCTGTGAGAGCAGAGGGCAGTGCACACCACAGGTTGCTTCTGTGTCTCCACCTTCTGGGAATGATGTGGGAAATGTGACTGATACGGTCCAGTTGATCTTTGTTGTAATTCTCCTTCGAGGAAGAGTTATTTGTCTAGAACATCACCTGGATTTTGTATTTTGCTCCTAGCTGTGCCTTTGAAAAGCCTCTTAGGTGTTAGCTTTGGGTCCACCTGTCTGTGAAAATCAAGGATGGAGACAGCCTTCATGCTTAGCAGGAGTGAGGTGTTTGTCTGGATTGCTTCTAGCTCTGGCTGAGAGTCGTTGGGAGAAATTTGGGCTTGGCTAAAAGGGTTATGCAGTGAGAAATATCTCAAATGAGAATATTTGCATAGCTATAGGGATAATGTCGAGCAGAAACCAGCCATCAGGAGGGATGTCCAGTTCACCCAGCTGTAGTCTCGTCCTTTTTAAAAAAAAAACAAAACCAAAATCATCTTCATTATGGCAGGGATGGGGTGTAGATGGGCTTGGGACTTTTTAGTCTTTTTGTTTACTTCAGAGTGATTCTAATTATTTTGTTCATCGGTGCTGCTCCATGGGCAAAATTGGAGGCTCTCCTGTGGCTTGTTTTTTTCTAATTAGAAGTTAGCACTAATTGGTTAGTGGCCTTGTGGGTAAACCCCTGAATTCCAGGAGAGTGTAGGGAGTTCCTTTGGGTCCTGGAGGATGTTTGGGGTGTGTAATGAAGAGTGTTTTTAGCACACCTTGGCTTCCCTGGGTGAGCCATTGGGGCAGACAGAATCTGTCATGAGGGGCATGGAGCAATAGTGATCCCCATCTATTTTGGATTTACTTTAATAATTAGCGGGTGTGTTAAGCACACTGTGGCTGATGTCACTCAGGTCTGCTGGATGGTGAAGGGTTAGACCGGCAACTGGGGTTTGAGGGTCTTTGGGTCAGAAAATCACAGAGCTCTTGTGGTAGAATAAAGGACGTTATTTATAACAGCCTGTAAATGGTCGATGACTCTTGGGCACAGAGATGGCATTGTCTTCATGCTGGGGGACTGGAAATGGCCGTCCCCTCTCCCAGCAGACAGAGAAGCAGTGCTTGGCCCCAAGCAGGGAAGGAGCAGTCTGGTGACCCTGGAGCAGAAAGGAGCTTTGGTTTCAGTCCCATCCAGCCTAACACCCTGCTGCCTTGTGCCAAGTCAAGTGCAGGCAGGGAGGTCTGTAGCAGCCACACAGACCTTCAGAGGCACAAAAGCAGTGCTTTTAAAAAAATAGTAAAATTAGGTTGTACCCTTCACCTGGATGTGCAGCCCCATGTTCTCATGTCAGGAGCATGGAAGCTGCTCGGATATTCCTGCTGCCGTGGCTGGATGCAGTTCAGCTGTGGCATTTCAAGGACCTTATGCTGGGATCACAGTCATGCCCTTGAGATGGCTATGTTTTCTTTTCTAACTTAAGTAAATGTGACAAGCCCTTGATCTGATTTTTCTAAAGCAGAGTGGGTTGGTTTTGTTCCCGCTCTGAGCACTCAGGCCGACACATCTGCCTTGCACGTTTTCTTCAGGTTTGTCTTTGCCACTTTGCTGACATGATAGAAACCAGAGTGTCACAAGACAGCAACTCCATGTTATTTTAACAATGACTAGGATGTCATCTTCGAAAAATTCTCTTGCTGAAGACAGGAATCTTCCCTTTGATGTTCATTTTGATACACTGTGCTTTATTAGAAGGAAAAAGTCGTGTTGCAGGAACCACAGGCAGTTTCACAGAGAAGCTGCTCTGACTTTGACTGCATGAATGATGTAGAAACCCATCTTATTTTCCAGGCTGGGATTTTCTGGACTTCAGGACCAACCTTTTGAGTTCCAGCTCATATGCTGGAGCTGGCAGACATGTGATCATATTGAGTGCTTGATGAAGAGGGACTTAACCAAGCAGGCCACTGTGTTTTGCAGCATCTTAGTACCCGATCGAGGCTTAGGTTGTTGTCTCAGTGCCTGTGTTGTGAAATGTCCACAGGAGGGGGGAGGTTTTGTACCTGTCCAGGGCACTAACCCCAAAGCAGCCACCCATCAGTGAGCAAAAAAGCAGCTTTTTCAGACCCCTGGCATGAGCCATTGCCAGAGAGCAGCAGGTTTGGCTTTCTGTTCCCTCACCTGCAGCCAGTGTGCATTCCTGTGTGCTGCTGGTTGCAGTCTGGGTCTTGTGACTGTCACAGATGATAGGAAATCAGGGTGAAAAAAAGGGGAGGATCTTTTACAGTTCCTAGCCCAGAATGGCCTGACTATGCCTAAAATAATTTCTGGTATAACCTGTTTCAGGATGAGAAACAAATAGGATTATCTTAATTAAAGTGATGTCCTGAGGCTCCCTGTGCTCATTATCACTTCAGATCTGTCTCTGTATCTCTTCTCAACAGATTTTGTAGCAATATGATCTAATTTCAGTAGCAACATCAGCAAAAAGTGACACCAGCACAATTCCTCACATGGGTGGGGTTAGAATGATGCAGTAGTGCTTTTCTCTGGCTGTACTTCCACAAGGGAAAGGGCACAAAAATAAAGGAGTCCATGAAAGGACCACACTGTTTTGCAGAGTTAAGCTATGTCAAACTTGTAAAAAGTGCTAAATTGGGTTACAATTCACAGGGGTTCAGCACAGGGAGGGTCGGGTGGTCTGTGTTCTCTTCACTGCTGATTTGAACCCAGGTTTAAAGCCCAACCTGACTCTGCTTGGGAAGGTTAGGAAATGGTTGGTGCATGGAAAAATATAACAGTTCAGGCAGCACAGTTTTGCAGAGAAAAAAGGCTCTGCTGTGCGCACTCCAACAGTGGGATAATTTATTCATCGTAGCCCTGAAATAGATGGATTGCAGCCAGAAGTATCGGTCGCAGGGAGAGGATATGACCTCTGCATCATTTGCATGCTGTGTCTTGTTGCTGTCCATGCGAGATGGGACCTTTAGAAAGGGATGTCTTTGGTCAGAGATGTCTGGTTTTTAGGCAAAGCCTGCCTTTGTGCATGGGGGTAGCCTGGTCTCTGCTAAGGTCACGGGAGTGCAGGGCGCTTAATCCAGCACATGCCAGCAAAGCGGTTTACGATGAATTGGGGATCTGTATGCACTGACACAGACCCCCAGGAGCGAATAGTCTGCTAATGCCAGGGAGAGCCAGCAGATGTTTGTCATGTCAGGGTTGGCTGAAGTCAGGTTTCCTGCATGCGAATGCAATGGGAAAGAAAGAGGGTTGCATCTGGGAGCTGCAGTTCATTTTGGAAAAGCAGGTTGCATTTTTCTCTCCTCCACAGGTAACCCAGGCAATAAAGGTAAATGTCTACCCACAGCCCATCAGCTTTAGGATTTAAATTTGCCCCTGCTTTGCTGCTGGAGCCCCTGCAGACCTGGTGGCACCTCATCTGACATATCTGCATAGGCTCCAGCTGCAGACACAGCAGCTGAGTTGGGAGTAAGCATTATCTGTATGGAAAAAAAGCCATGTGCAGTGATGTCCCATCTGCCAGGTGTCTTGCACAGCCACATCATCAGTCAGTCATCTTTGTGCAGTCATCTTTGTGGCTTTGTGGTACAAAAAAGAAATCCTCTTTTCTAGGGTGATGGTTATTCTGGTGGTGGTGAAGATCTTCATAGCTCAGTTCCCCTGGTGCATCATTGGTAGAGGATGTGAAAAAGTCCTTCCTCTACAGAAGGATCACTCTTTGAGCCCTAAAGGAATTGAGGAAGGGAGACAGGGGGCTGTCCCCCACTTCAGGTGTTGGAGACATATGTGGGTATAGAAGGAGGCTTGAAAGGGATGTCACCATGCATACCCAAAATTTGAACATTGCTCCTGCAGTCTCTTCCTGGTGAGCCATGCACGTGGCTGAGAAGCTAACAGTGACAGACTCCAAAGTGTGAAAGTGAACTGCCATGTATATGTTCTGCTTTAAAAACCAACCCACGTCTCCCAAACCCTTTTTAACTGCAGTGTCTTAACTACTGCAAAACCAGGTTCTGTCTTTAAAGGCTGTCTTCTAGTTAAAGACCTGGAGCACTTGGTTGAGTGCTCAGAGGAGACTTCTGGCACAGGAAGATGGAGCTCAGCTCTGTACTTCTACAGTCTTCCCCATCCCAATTACCAGAAAGAAAATACATGGGGAAGGGACAGATAGGGATGGAGTGGTGATGGCCTCTGTGCCACGACCTTTGTATGCTAAAGCCTAGAGAGGGAAGATCCTATGGCAAAATCTGGAGCAAGTTTTAAACCCTGTGGGTTCAGTCCTTGGCCTTTCTGCACAGTGTCTTGAACTATTGCTTTGATCACCACCAGCTCCATTTGTGGAGCCAGATGATGTCCTTTTGTCCTGCCCTGCATTGGTCAGTCTGTCAGTCTGCACAGGACATGATGTAGTTGCTCTCTTCCCATCTATGAGGGCTGAGCAGTCCATAAGAGATCGAAGACTGTGACCTTGAGGGTTGTTTTTGGTTCTCACGTGAAACAGGAGTTGTCATCACCTGATGCCTTACCTCTGAGACTTCATCCCAGCGTAAATGCTGCTTGTAATGGTAACTTCCCTGTTTTCCTTCAAGTTTCACAATGCAGAAAAGTTGCTCATTTTTCCTCTGCGTGACTCACAGCTCGGAGGTTTTATCACTTTCATGTCTGGAGGCGGTGGGAGGAGGAAAGCCCTTGGATAAATAACACGAAGGCATTTCAGTTCAGTTCCATCTCAGCATGTTTTGTAACTCCCCTGTTCCTTCCACACTTGTGCAAAGAAAATCATTAGAGACGTTTACTATATGCCACTGAGAGTTGCACTCATTAATGTACAACAATACCAGCTCTGGGAATTCAAAACAAAATTATTTTCTTCCCCCAGTGCTAAGTATCACCTACCCTGGCAGCTGTCAGTCAGTCTCTCCTAATCCATTGGAAATAATTTTTTTTCTGAATCTGTGTTTTTATCAGAATTGGTTTATGCTCCAGTTTCTTGATCCCACCTCAGCTTTTGCTTCATGAAGGCATGAGTGTTTGCAGGAGCCAGGCTTTCATGAGTGCTTTGCCAGTACTACTTTGGGGATGTGGCTCATCTTTGTGTCTCTTGATGCATTGCACTTCTTTCATCCTGATTTAATGACTCTCAGGAACTGGGTCTTTCACCTGTGGGGATGAAGCTGTCCTGCATGGTATGAAGGTTTGCTGTCCTCAGAAGCACCTCCCTCATGTGGGCTTGGATGAGCAGAACAGACTCCCCTGGATGTGCAGATGGTGAATTAGTGATGTCCCTCTTAAAATGCAGGATGCTGTTGGGCAGGATGGTGGCCTTCTGTGGGTGTGTCCTGTTACTGAGGTTGCTTTTTAGGGGACAGCTCTGGGTGTATACAGAGGGGAGGGCAGGATCTGGTAAAGGATTTCTCTAGGATTCGGTCCTGGCTGTACACTGGACCTTCAAAGCTGGTGCTAAGCAGCACTTGGGCAAAGCAAGCATTTGGGAAGTGCAGAGAATGGGGTTTTGAATGTTGAATGTGAATTACACTTACAGGATCAGGATACATTACACTGACACTTTCGGTGTCAGCAGAAATACTGAAATATTTATCATAATGGGGTGGAAAAGCATTCTCACACACATCTAGTTCTCCTAGTACTACATGGTGATCTTGACACCTACTACAGAGCTGGTTTATATACTTATTTTGGCTGGGATGGTGGTGTTAGTTCTTTGCTGTCCCCTAGCTTGTCTGCTTGAACTCCACCTCCTGTCTTGCCTCATCTTGTCTTGTCCTGACTCTTCAGCTCATTGCTGGGTTTTGCCCTGGGTAGGCACGGTGCTGCTGTGCAGACAGAAACAAAATGAGGAGTGTGGGTCTGTGCTACAGAGGCTGTGAGCCAGCGTAGTGCCGTGGTTGAAGTCTTTATCTTTGTGAAAGGTTGGCATTAGAAAGTCAAGTTGGAAGTAAAAAAGTCAGTGGTGCGAGGTGGGTCAGAAAGGAAAGGTAACAGGAGCAGATGTTCAGCTTGGTGTAAGAGATGCAAAGACGTCTGGCCTATGTCCAGAAAACCTGCTAGGATCTCAGTGCTCCCCTGTGAATTGCAGCCCTTCTCTTGCATCAGCCTGGATTGTGTGAAGCAGAGCAATGTTTGGAAAAAAAAGAGGAATTTTGAAGATGGGCAGGTGCATTTGTACCAGACAGTGGCAGTAGCTCAAGCTGACTGCCTGGTTGGGTGCTGCCCTGCTCAGCCTCAAGCTCATTCCCATGACTGGAAATCCAGCACCTCTGTCCCCTCCTAAGGGATTGGTCTGATTCTGAGGGAGCACCACGTCACAACATAAATACCCCTCATGGCTGGAGCTCAGGCATGTGCCGCAGGTCCTCAGGAGCCTGGAGGAGTGCTGCAGTTGGTTTTGTGCTGCAGCTGCAAGGCATTTCACGGGTGGGATGAATAAAAGGATGGAAAATACTCTGAAATGGAGCTTTTTTCTTTTTTATGAAGCATTTTCTTTTAGTGGAAGAAGTCAGTGATGGAACGAAAAGGTTTTTTTGCTTTCTGTTTTACAGGGAAATTTAATGGTCTCTTTAGAGAGAAAGGGCTTTATGGCAAGGAAAAGGGAAGAGGCATCTGTGAGATGAAGTGAACATATGCATGTTTGTCCCCAACTGCATCTGGTCTTTGAAGATGAGTCCAAGGGCAAGCACAGAATGTGATCTTACTGGCATCATGGAGACGTGGTGGGGCAGCTTCTGTGACTGGAGCAGAGCATTGGAGTGGAAGGATGCAGGCTCTTTAGGAAGGACAGGCAGGGGAGAGGAGGAGTGGGTGTCACCCTGTATGTCAGTGAGGAGTGTGTGGAGCTCCACTTGGGAATGGATGAGAAGAAGAGAGCCTGTGGGTCAGGATTAAAGGGAGGACAGGGACAAGTGTTTTTGTGGGGGTTTGCTACAGGCCACCCAACCAGGAAGACTGAGTGCATGAGGCCCTGGAGACAGATGGGAGCAGCCTCATGTTCACAAGCTCTGGCCCCTGTGGGGGGCTTCAGCCACCCCAGTATCTGCAGGAGGTACAGCACAGCAGGGCATAAGCAATACAATGCATTGATGATAACTTCCTTCTCCAAGTGACAGAGAAGCCAACAAGGAGAAGATGCTATGCTGGACCTTGTTCTCAGCAACAGAGAGGGGCTGGTGAGGAATGTGAAGCTAAAGGGCAGCCTTGGCTGCAGTGGCCATGAAATGGTGGTGTTCAAGGTCCTTACGGCAGCGAGGAAGATGCACAAGCTCGCTACCTTGGACTTCAGGAGAACAGACTTTGTCCTCTTCAAGGATCTGCTTGGTAGAGTACCGTGGGATAAAGCTCTGGTGGGAAGAGGCATCCAGGGAAGCTGGCTGATATTCAGGGGTCACCTCCTCCGAGCTCAGGAGCAATGCTTCCTAACAAAGACCTCTCCACTGAAGACGAGTTGAGATAGCTGGGGTTGTACGGCCTGAAGAAAAGAAGGCTCCAGGGAGAACTCGTAGTCTTCCAGTACTTAAAGGGGGCTTATAAAAAAGAGGGAGAGCAACTTTTTACACGGGAAGATAGCGATAGGACAAGACGGAACAGTTTAAAACGAGTGCGGGTTAAATTATATGTTAGGAAGAAATTCTTTACTGTGAGGGTGGTGAGGCACTGGCACAGGTTGCCTAGAGAAGCTGTGGCTGTCCCACCCCTGGAAGTGTTCAAGGCTGGGTTGGATGGGGCTATGAGTGACCTGGTGTAGTGGAAGGTGTCTCTGCCCACAGCAGGGGTGTTGGAAATGGATGATCTGTAAGGTCCCTTGCAACCCAAACTGTCTTATGATGCTGTGATTCTATGATTTTGACTGAGTAGTTGTCTGTGATGGATGCAGGTAGTCAGCTCATCCATCAGATGTGCCAGTGCAGGCAGATGAAGTGCCTGTTTGACGTGTCTGCTCAGATGATCTGCCCCAGCAAACCATGGAGAAAATCTGTTTTGCCACCAGCAGGACCAGCTAACCTTGCACGCGTTTCCCTCCCCGCAGATGTGCCGGCGAGTGTACAAAGGGATCCCACTCCAAGTGAGAGGCCAGGTCTGGTCACTTCTGCTGGATGTCGAGAAGATGAAGAAGGAGAACGAAGGAAAATATGAGGTATGAGCTCTTCCTGCCAAAGACAACAAGAGCAAGGTGATGAGGAGGCTGGACTGGGGAGGAAGCTGGTTAGGTGGGGCTTTATCAGTCAGGGCAAGTTGGACCCATGGTGCATGCAGGCGTCTCCATCTCCACCTGCATGGGCAGGAGAGACATGGGAGTTCCTATGGGGATGCTTTAATGGGCAGGAGGACTGCATGGCCCTTGCATGCTCCCTCACAGGGTAGCAGCATGGTGAGCCCCCTAGGATGTGTGCTGGTGTTGGGGCCTCATCCTGTCTGTGGACTTCTGTGACCTCTGAGAAAGAAAAGCATTTTACACCCTTTGTTTTCAGTGGGAACTGAAAACACAAGTGATATAAACTCTTTATCAGAGGGTGTATATCAAGCTGGGGTCTTTTAGCTTGTTAGCTGGCTGCTTTCCATAATAGGCTGCTTCCGTTTGTTGTGCTGGGAGTTGCAAGCAAAGTTGCTGCCAGTTTCATTGCATCTTTAAGGAGAGAAGCAAGAAAAAGTGAGGGGAGGCTTAGCAAAGGTACCACTCACAGTTCCCTGAGCTCCCTGGGGTGATGCAGAGTAGTCACAAGTACCCTGGAGCAGGTACGTGCTGGATGGGGATACCCCAAACCTCTGTGTGCTTGAAAATTTCACCTGGCGATTTTTGAAATGAGTAGCAAGGTGAGAAGCCCTAAACCAGCCAGCAATGGGTTTTTAGTCAAGAAACCAAAATAAGGGTGGGGTGAGGGCAGATCTTGCAAGTTGGTTTAATTCTGAGTAAAGGGTCCTGGCTTACTACTTAGATGTGCAGCTAGAAGTTAACTGGCAGCATTGGAAGAGCTTGGATTGAAATGGATTCTTTTATCTTCCAATTCTTTATAACTGTTATGTAAGTTTATATTAAACATCATTGTTAAAATCAAATAAAAATTACTTTTCTGTTAAAAATCACTTATTTTCTCTGCAAGTAGGAGAAAAGCCTGCCTTGCGTTGCTTCCTACCAGAGCACCGCATGCTTCATGCTTGGATTCCATGTCATTAGATAAGCAATTCCTGTAGTGTGCATTGAACAAGAACTCAAGTGACAGGGCTTGTTGTATTTGTTATTTTTATTTCAGATGTTTTGGCTCCTTTCCGTAGGCAGTGTGGTAGCCTTTGGTTGATAATTAACTTATTTTCCAAACCTGTGTTATGATTTAGCTTGCATCATCATGTACCAGGGTGAGGTGTTGTGGAGACAATTATTTTTCAGAGGCAGGAGGTTGAGTGCTGCTTCCAGCAGGTGTTTCTAAAAATCCCTGCCTATTAAGCAGGATGATGATAACGCTCATTATAGTTAGTCAGGCGTAGATGTCACTGGTGAGATGCTGCTGGGATGGGGGCACATGCAGAGCTTGGGGAAGGCGGGCTGGGCTCACCGCAGTCAGCAGAGATAAGGAAGCTCTCCCAGCACGCAGATTAAAATTGTGCTCCTTCCCTCAAAGCTGTGCTACACAGGCAGGGAAGCAATCCAAGCAAATGAAAGTCGAAAGGAGTTTATCTGTGCTCCAGAGGGGTCTGCGATAAACAGGAGCTTCAGGGCTAATAGGCTTTGCTGGATGCAAACCCCTCTACAAGCTCATCCTAATCTGCCTCTTCTTTGGTGCCACCTGCTGCCAGTAATTAGCTCTCTCCTAATTTCCTCCAGGAGAGGCTCAGTGCAGGTCCTGGATGAGGGGTTTTGCTTTCAAGAAGGGACTAAGCCTCAGACTTGTGTCACATGGGGGCTGGTCCCAAGCCCACCCCGTTTCTCCCTGGGGCATGAACTGTGGCACAAAAGCCCAGAGGCTACCATGGGACACACCATGCTTGGTTTTCACGTGGGTGTGGTGCTCTGCTCCCCTGGGGTTTGTTAGTCATAACTGAAGGGCTTGAGGGGAGCTGAGAAGGCAGCAGGAGAAACATCCTGGCCATGGGGCAGAGCAGAGGCATCCTGGCTTTTACCCACTGCTTTTACAAGGTCTCTGGGACAGGGCCTCCGGCTTCCCAGCCTCTGTTCTGCCACCAGCTTGCAGGGCTCACAGCACTAATGAGCTCAGCAGAGCAACTGTGAAACCCCCAGTTTACTTAGGAAAAAAAGGAGAATAACCCATCCTGGATTTCTTGTTTAACATCTTCACAATTACTAAAGTCTCCTGGGTGCATGGAGAGGACAAAGTGCTGTGCAACCTACCTGCTATTCAGGTGCAGTACTTCAAAACAAACTGAAGTAGGGTTATTTACAGTCTTTGAGAGATTGCTGTGTTACTCTGGCAGGGAAAACAAGAGGGCCTTTAGGAGAGAAATTTGAACTGAACTGACCCGGTGGATATGAATAGTCTCCTTCTTTCAGGTAGTCTGCTTGCTTTACAGAGGACAAGGAGCCATAGGATGCAGAGAGCACAGTATTTCCAGCAGGGAACTTATGTTGTTCATCAGACCTTCACTCTGTGGCTGCTTTTATCCTCCCTTGTCTTGTGCAGGCAGTAATTCAAAATAGCCCTTGTACTGTTGCTCCTCCATACAGCTATTTTCAAGGTTGGAGTTAATATTCCCAAGATGCTGTGACTGCCCTAAGTGTTGGCAGTACTAAGTGACCTTTTGATGTTCCCTAGAGCTGATGTGGCCCCCTCAGGAGGTCAACAACAGCTTGGAGGCACCTGGTATCAGGCTGACAAGCATTCATAGGATGGCAGCTGCTGGAGCAGATGATAAGCGTCTGTGCAGATGTGTTCTTCTCTGTCTCCTGCGTGAGCCCAGGACCCCTCCTGAACCCGGGCTCAAGGCAGGGTGGGCTTGCTGCTCATCTGTGATGCCTCTAACCTGCCAGTGGATTTCAGTCTGCCTGAAGACAGTCACAAAATGTATTTTCTTCATGCAGTTGGCCCTGTAGGTATCAAAGGAGGAGGGCATGATCACTGGTGGTATCTAAAGGCTGTGAGATGAGATGCTTGGCTGTAGCATAATGGTCCTTGCCTGCGGCACAGGGCCGAACAGGGGGCTACAAATGGGACTGAAGTGGGATTTGTCCATGGAGCATCTTCAGCTTGGAGCTCTGAGGGCACAATTGATTGAGGTTGTCTTAACTTTCATTTGGATTTTCATTTTTTTGCACTGGACTTAAGTCCTTTATCTGTGTGATGCTGCCTTAATCATTAGCCAGTGTGGAGGGAAGATGGGAATTCTTGGCTTTGGGTTTAGTTTCTCTTCTGGAGAAGATGGTGTCTGACTCCTGCCTCTTGTCTGTCCCTGTCCCTTCCAGCAAATGAAAGAACAAGCAAAGTGCTTTTCATCGGAAATCAAGCAGATAGATTTGGATGTTAACCGCACCTTCCGAAACCACATCATGTTTCGGGATCGCTACGGAGTGAAGTGAGTACAGGAGGCTTCACATGGCTATACAGACACTGGTGCCTGTGGATATGGGGGGGTGAGCTGGATAGGGGCCAGCAGTCCCCTGGCTTGGGGTGGCCCACGGCACCCTGGCTCAGAGCAGCTCACAGGAGAGCAAAGCCACCTCTGCCTGCTCCTCAAACCCTCACCACACAGTACAACCCACACATGTTGGGCTGCTGATTCTCCCTTCAGAGAGGTCCACACTGCACCACGTTCAGCCCCAGTTCTTGAGCCAAGCACCACCAGCCTGCTGCAGTGCCTTGTCCCCCAAGGTGTTAGGGTCACAGTTACAGAGGGCTTGGTATGGGATGGCTGGGATGATGGGGTGGGCCCATCAGGATGTGGGTGGGATGGAATCTCCACAACAGATGGAGTCAGAGAGGTTTGACAAAGTGGCTTTGTCACTTGGATGGGTCACACCTAGCTGCCCTATGCAGTCTCTGAGGAAGGTGCTTTCTGGTTTTGTGAGACCTGCTCCTTGCAGGAGCCTCCTGTGTGAAAGACATAACTGGCTGGGTGTTTTCAGGGACTTTGCTCTCTGCATATGCCTTGGTGTGGTCACAAAGCTGGAGACTTTGGGCTCAGGTGTTTTAATATCCTTCTTTCTCCCCAGGCAACAGGCACTCTTCCACGTCTTGTCAGCATACTCTGTTTATAACACCGTAAGTAGTAAGTCCAGTCAATGTGAATAGTGTTGTGCTTTACATATATATATGAATGGACACTTTTAAAAAGCATTTTATATATATATATATAGACAAGTATGTTTGTATATATACATATATACAAAATATTTATTTTATATATATATAAAATAGACACACACCTATTTAACCAGTGGTAATTCCAATTTTAAGTCCTGTTAATGGCTTATACAGACAGCTGCAAGACTCCCAGGCAGTACAGGAGTCTTTGCGCAGTTGTTTCATTCCTTTGTTCATTTTGTCACCTGGTAAATGACATCTGGCAGACTGGGCAAGTGTCATCAAAGAACAAGGGTTTGCCCTTTGACTTTCCAGCAACACCAGTTAGTCTCTTGGCAGTCTGCCGTGTTGCTACCTTCTTGTCTTACACCAAATGGCATTCCTTGTTAAAAACACTGACTTATTACAGCAAACCAGACAGTTTTTAGCTGAAGGGCATAGGCATAGGCTCAGGGGTTTAGTCAAGGAGCCTCCTTCATACCAGATAAATGCTTATCACATTTATTTATTGATTACTTACATCAGTGCTCATATGGCTGAAGGAATCCAAAAAGCATCACATGCTGTTTGTCATACCATCCCCTATTTCTTGAAGTAGCTGCAGACACCTCTTTTCTTGGGTTTCTGTCCCTCACCCTCCAGGCTCAAGCAGGGGACAGAGGCATGGTGGGGTAACATTGCCTTCAAACCCCTCACCTACTGCTGGAGGCCCTGCTAGAGCAGGTCTGGAGGAAGGGCACAAAAATGGTCAGAGGGCCAGAACCCCCCTTTTATTAAGAAAGGGTGAGAGTTGGGATTGTTCAGCCTGGAGAAGAGAAGGCTCTGGAAAGACCTCATTGCAGCCTTTCAATATATAAAAGGGGATTATTAAAAAGAAAAAAAAAAGATGGAAAGACTTTTTATTAGGACGTGTAGTGACGGGACAAGGGGCAGTGTTTTAAACCGAAAGAGGTATGTTTAGATTGGACATAACGCATTTTACAAAATGAGTGTGATGATGCACTGGAACAGGTTGACCAGAGAAGCTGTGGATGCCCCCCATTCCTGGCAGTGTTCAAGGCCTGATTGGATGGGGCTTTGAACTACCTGGTGTAGTGGAAGGTGTCTCTGTCCATGGCAGGGGGGTTGGGCGAGATGATCATGAAGGTCCCTTCCAACCCAGTCTAGTGTGTGAGTCAGTGACATGGTAGATGCTGTAGACTTGTGGGAGCTGTGAATTTGGACATAAATGGTAAAGACATTGAAACAGGACAAACCTTGAAAGAGGAGAGGGAAGCACAAGGCAGCCTGACCTGCTTCTACAGTTAAGCGTTATGGTTACATGCATGTCCCTCTTGGCTGTTGCAGGAAGTAAGCTACTGCCAAGGGATGAGCCAGATTGCAGCCATCCTCCTGATGTACTTAAATGAAGAGGATGCATTTTGGGCACTGGCACAGCTGCTGACCAATCAGCGACACGCCATGCACGGTAAGGCTGGGGTGGGATGTGGGTGGGCGTCTGGCAGTTGGAGGGAAGGCTGTTTAGTTGGTCAGTAGAGCCTTGTTTCTCCTCACATACTTGTTTAATTAAAGTGGGTAAGGCTTAACTATACATGCAGCCTGACTACAGAGCTGAACTTCGCTCTTGGGGGCAGACACGTTCTTATCAGGAAAAAAATGTGTTTTAACGGCACTGAGCTTTAGTGCTCAGTAATTAACACTTCCACAGAGGAGCTATCCGCCCTCCAGAGTGCCTTGCCCTTGGCAGTAATTAACTCAAGGTTATGAGTTTATAAGAAGTCTCACAGAAGTACATCCAAGAGCATCCACTAAATGTGGATGTAATTCCACCAAATGTGCTGTATTATTTTACTTCAAATACATTAAAGATCCTTTCATCTTACTTGTGGTTAGCAGTAATGTATGCACAGAGGGTTATTAGGCCGAGGGCTAAGCCTTATGGTTTGATAACTCTGGACAGTCTTAAATGTGATTACCTGAGATTACAGGGCACTGCACAAGCTTGTGGTGCTCAAACATCTTCAGGTTTTCTCTGAACCTTGGTAAGCACTGAGGTGTGTTCAGAGAGGGCTTGGCCAAGCCAAGTCTCAGGCAGGTGGGCTGGGGGAGGTGTGTGGTCTGGTCCTTGGGGCTGGTTGAGAAGGACCAGCTGGGGTTGGTCTGAGGGTCCTGTTGCCCATGTTGATGGAGCGAAGGGCAGACTCTGGGAGGGAGGCAGCTGGGCTCCCTGTGGTCCAGCCGACTTCAACAGGCAGTTGAAGAGATGAGTTTCTAGAAAATCAGGCTGTCCCTGCTCCAGAGATTTTCTGATTATGTTTTGTTTCTCTCATCTTTTCTTTTTAAGGTTTTTTCATTCCTGGGTTCCCGAAGCTGCAGAGGTTTCAAGCTCACCACGAACAGATTTTAAGCAAACTGTTTCCCAAACTGAAGAAGCACATGGTATCTCTTTGCTATCAGTTTTCCTATAATAACACCACATTTTAATGCTAAAGCAGTTAGTGTAATATTCTGCCAAACAGATGCACAACTGAACATACTTCTAACCATGTAGGACTGCTTCAGCCACAAAGAGGCAAGCATTTATTAAATGGGGTGCCCCGACCTTGCTGAGGCAAATGGTTATCATTTAATTGCTGCTCATCATTAGTGGAGGGACTGCTAAAATCTAAAGGCTTCCTGAGGAAAGCCAGGCAGAAAGGCTTACAGAACCTGCAGCAGAAGGAGCTGTTCCATACAGCAGTAAGTGACTGTGTTATACCAGCTGCAAAGCCCAAAGGCTGATGCTGAATTTTCTGGAGTCTTATTTCAGTAATTATTAGCTCCAAGTGCTTTGCTGTTGCTTAAAGACAGGAGACACATAAGATTTGCTGTTGTGTTTTGTTGCTCAGGCATGTCCAGTTGTTTTTCTCTCTAGCAGATGGTCCAGGCCTGTTTGATGGCTGGAGGAACATCTGCAGGACACACTGACTGCAGTCTAATGTCTTAGGCGACTGTTTTGCAACACCTGCTCCCTTTTTTTTTTTGCCTTGTCCACCCTTGCATTTGGTGTAGACAGTTGGCATTCAGTGGCCAGACTCAAAGTTTTCTTGTGCTCCCAAAGGGCTTGGTAGTCCCCAGCTCCAGGAAAAGCTGTTTATATTGTCATCATTTCCAACAGCTCTTGCTCCATGCTACAAGTGAGACCTGCCTGCAAAAGTGAAACAGAGCCAGGACAGGTCTTCACTTGATTATGGTCACCAGCAGAGGAGGGAGGGTGGGAATAATTCTGAAAGCTGCTTCATGCCTCCTGCTCCTGAAGGCTCTCCAGGCTTGCGGGTGCTCAGCACCAGTCAAGAGCAAAGGCCTGAGCCAGATGTTAATCCCATGGGCTTCTTTCTCTCCCCATCCCCACCGCTTTGTTGGCTTTGCAGCAGCAGTTATAGCAGTTCTGTGCACGTGCAGAGCACTGTGCATCCCAGCACCATTAGACAGAGGTGATGATGGTGAGGTATTTAAGGCTTTTTGAGAGTTTTCCGTAGCCTGTCAGACTGTCCTGCTCCTGCAGCAGCCGTGCCATGCCACGCCAAGCAAATGAGGTGGTGCTTGCAAAGCTGGCTTGACTGTGCTTGGAGAGGCTTGTGTGGGAATTGCTATGGAAACAAAAATGGTAGTCTGCAAGGAGTGAGTGGTTTGGGTTCCTTGAAGGTTTTTATAAATCCCCTGGCATAGGTATTAGGCCAGAAAAGCTTCTCCTAGAAATTCCTGTCCAAAGTTGTGGCTGAAATCTGTCCACATTGAGGATTGGCCAAAGGAGGGCTTCAAAACTGGTATTTAAAGCAGGGTCTTTGTTGGGAGACAAACCACAACCAGATCCTGCACCCAGACCCCAGCATTGATAAGCCAACCAACCAACCAACCTCCCTCAAAGCCTTATGAACTGTTTGAACCTCCAGCAGCCAGTCTGGTGAAACGCCTGTCTCTCTTTGCTGTCTCCCCCCAGGACAAGGAGCAGATGACTACAGGGATTTATACAACCAAGTGGTTCCTGCAGTGTTTCATTGACCGGGTGAGGATGCTCTGGGGGTTTTTTGCTGCTCTGCTGTTTATGTGAATGGTTAATCTGCCAGGGATTTTTTGTAAATATCATACTTTGAAGAAGGTGTTAATATTTTATAAGGTGGGATACTATGCACACTCTCATAAGACAAAAAAATTAATAAGGGAGAAGCTAAAAATAACAGCATGTCACTGATGACAAACCAATTCCTGCTACCTCATCTAAAGCAGTCACTGGGAGATGGCTCAGCAGCAGCAGCAGCATAAGCTTTAAACTTGGGAGAGATCTTTCTTTTGCCCACTGGCACTGCTGCAAAGGCAATTAACCTCACTTGGGCTCTGGAAACAGCGTAGGGAGGAGAAGAGCTGGGGGCACAAACTTCAACAAATAGCAGTGTAGCAGCTGCAGGCAAAGGAGAGGGCTGGGACTGGAAACATGTGAAAGCATGAGAAGATTACCCTGATTTGTTCACAGCTAATTTGCCAGTCCTGAGCCAAGACTACTTTGTTTCTAGGGGCAGTATTGTGCTTGCACACTTGAATGCAATGTCGAGACTTGGTAATGTTTAGGACATCTGTGTGCTCCAGTCTCAATTTTCTGCTGCCCTGTCTCCTGTAAAACAGTGGATGAGTTCTTCCCCTTGAGAGGGAACTCACTGCTTTGCAGTCTTCCACTAAAAAGCTGTATAAAATGCAAAGTCTGCAGTAGCAGAGCTGCAATGGTCAGTTGTGCCAAAGTCTGGAGAGTAAGTGCAGCATCCAACAGTAGGACCAGTACTGATTTCTTTGTTGGTGAGATGCCTTAGATCTTTGCTGCGAGGTATAAGGCTGCTCCATCATTTTGGATATCAGTTCACTCCTGTTTGTCAGATTGGGTCTGGGTGCAAATGAAAACCTGTTGCAGAGGTGTTTCTAGCAGGCAGAAATAAGTCTTGTGTATAAGGAAACCCACTCTTCTGAACACCAAATGAGTGATTTTTTAATGCTTAGTGAGGCATCGTTGGGCTTTCAGACTTATCCCATAAATAGCCCTTCTGAGAAATGTGGATGGACACAGGAGTTGTTTTGTGTGCTTGCAAGGCTGAAAGGTGATGGTGCTCCCTCCAGGATAGGGGAATCCATGTGCTAGCATGCTTGTGAGAAAACTTTCTTGTTTTTCTGCATTCCTGGATGGGTTTTAAGTAGTTTCCTAGCCATCCAAGGTTGTTAGCTTTAAGGCAAAGGTATAGATGAAAAGAGATATTTTTGTGTTATAGATGAATTCATGACTTCCAAAGCCTGGCTGTGTTGTGTGTTTTGGTGCAAGGAGATGTAGTGATGGCACCAACCTCTGTATCTTCATCCCATGTGTGTATCTGTTTGTGTATTTGAAACAGACGCCCTTCACCCTCACCTTGCGGCTGTGGGATATCTACATCCTGGAAGGGGAGCGTGTGCTGACAGCCATGGCTTACACCATCCTCAAACTGCACAAAAGTAAGGTCCCAGCAGACTGTGTCCCTTATGACCCTACGCTGGGCCACCCTTGGGCTGCCAACCTGGAAAGCCTTCCTGGCCACTTCCAGCCTTCTCCAGGCCCTGCACTGGCTGTAAAAGGCATAGTCCCGAGCTGGTGATCTGGGGGCGAAATGACGTGCTGCAAGGGTTGGCATGCTATGCTTATCCCACACAAACCTCACCTGGAATGCTCCCAGCTGCCTCTTTCTGTGTGCTGTGCCCCCCACTGACATTCTGTCAACAGGCTTTTAGGGGCAATACAGACAGCAATTGCCATACTTTGCAGCATCTTTCTTTGCTGCATCTTTGCAGCATCTGTCTGCAGAACTCTAGGTGGTGGTTCAGCTGAAAAGTCTGTAGAAGGAGAAGTAAATCCATTAATATACTTCTAAACTGATCAAAACCTGGTTTTCTTGCATAACGTTAGAGCAGTGATGTTTCTACCATGAGACCTCTGACTTTGAACCCCTCTCCTCCCATAAGATTGCAGCCTTGCCCTGTCACTCTGTGGCCTTGATCTGGGGCAGGACTGTGTACTGGGAACTTTTAGGCCAGCAGGATTTTTGGGACCGCGTGTGTTGGCTTCTGCAAATGACCACCCTGCTCTTCCTTCAGTTAAATGAAGAACAGGCTATCCAGAAATAAATCTTGAAGTATCCTGTTTGTCTGCTAAAAGTTGGAAACTGACAGGCACGCAGATGTTTCAGCCTGGCTGTGAAATCTCTCCTCCCTGAGGAATGTGTGGTGCAGATTGGCATCCCTCCCTGCAACCCATTCCAGACTGTATCCCACCCCTGCCTGCAACCCTGGTGAGGGCCAGCACCTCTGCCTGCATCCCTGCCTGCTGGCTGGTGCAGGCTGGCATTCCTGGCTGGTCGTAGCAGCTGCCAGCAGTGGCTGTTCAGCCTGATGCTCAGGGCCTGTTTCATGGAGCTTTTCCTCCTCCTAGAGGCATTGATGAGAACTTCCAGAAATGGCCCAAAACACACGTCCTTGTGGCACAGCTTCCAGCCCTGCCATTGCTCTGCCATTGCAGAGCTACTGCTCAGAGGTGGCACGGGATATGTACGTGTATTGACGACCCTGAGCAACAGGGGAAAGAAAGGTGGGAGAGGGGCGAAAACATTCAGGCTGTCTCACTGCAGAGTGGGAACAGCAGCAGAATCCCAGATAAAACCAAAGCAGTGCAACCCACACTCATGCTACCCTGCAATTTGGCTGTGCTGCTGTCATTAGTCCTTTCTTCTATTCCCCAGAGCGCTTGCTGAAGATGACACTGGAAGATTTACGTGAGTTTCTGCAGGAGAAAATTGCTGCTTCCCTGCAGTATGAGGATGATGCAGTCATCGAGCAACTGCAGGTGTCAATGACTGAACTGCGGAAGATGAAATTTGACCTCCCACCACCAGGTGGGTAGAGGGGAAGGTGGGCAGCCCAGCAGGGACAAGAGCATCCTGCTGGTGTGGCTGGGAGCTGGGGCAGCCCAGAACGGGCTGTTGGGTGGAGCATCTGCCGTCCTTGCATTCAGGACGTGCAGAAATGAACTGATGCACAGTTTGGGTCTTATTTTGTTTTCTCTGCTTTCAATGCAGCAAAGCCTGAAGAGTTTCCAAGGAAACCCCTGGGGCTGGAACTCTCTCTCAATCCAGTAGCTGTAAAGGACAACCCAGCAGCCAACAGCCAGAATGGCCGGGTGGGCGAGCACACCCCGGACAGGGAGCCCCATCCCCACAGAGTTCCTGGGGGACCAGGAGAAATGACAGTGGTGGAAGAGAGGATTCCCACTCTCCAGGGCAGTGAAGCAGCTGAAGCAACAAACCTGCCTCCTCCTGGTGGGAGGCCACTGGAAGAGCAGAGCCGGGTGGAGCCCATCGTGGACGGGCAGCCATCATCTCTTCTGAAGGCAAGCGAGACACAGGTTCATCATCACCTCCTGCCCACAGCCCTGCCTCCAGAGGAGCCTCTTCTTGCTCCTGGCTGTGCCATGATGGACCATGGATTCCCCCTCCATGCCCCAGCTGAGCACAGCTCCTTAGACTCCTCTCTCCAAAACAGGCCAACTCCTTCCGACTCAAGCACTGCTGAGCTTTCCACTACGGACGATGCAGAATGGCAGCCAAATCCTGCTGCCCTGCCGGCAGGAGAACAAGCATCTTCCCTGTGTGAAGATGCAGCGCTTGAAGCACCCCCACATCCCCTGCTGGGCAGCTGCCGGCGTCTCTCTTGCACGTCACAGCACGACGGCTCTCCCGAGAGTGGGCTCAGGGAGGCAGCAGACCAGGAGCACTGCAGAGCGGTGCTGCCGGGCAAAATGGACTTGAAGCGCTCGGCATCCAAAGCTGCATCCACAGGAGAGCTCACCAGCCTGCAGAATGGGCTGGGGAGCGCCGCTGACACTGTGCACTGGCCCAAGGACAGGGTGGCGGGAGGCAGCGTGCCCATCCTATCCAGCAGCGAGCCAGAGGGAGCAGGGCTGGGTGAGGGCTGCCCCTTCCAGCGGGCATCATCCCCTGTGGCGGAGGGGAACAGCCCCTACATCGTTATCAAAACCGTCACTCCCCTCCACCTGGCCCACGCGACAGAGCAGGATTTCTTGAACAGAAAGCAGGTGGCGTTGCCTCTGTTGGAGACTGGACACCCCCTGCCTGCCACCTCCTCGCCACCAACTCTTACGCCGGACCCGGAGGAGGTGGATGTCCAGAAGGGCCTTCAGAAACCATTAAATGCACTGAAATCCCCACGACCCCCTCTGAGCCCCAAACCAAAATTACCGCCACAGGTTGCCAAATCCCGCTCAGAGAACAGTTTCCTTTCAGGCTCTCCTCCCCTGGAAAAGCTGCCCAAATCAGTGACGTTTTAGTGGAGGTGGGAGAGGCAAAGGAGAGGAAGCGGGTTCTGGAGCAACACCCCTGCCCCATTTACAGGATCCCCATCCTTCAGCAGGGCTGTGTCGGGGTGACAGCACAGCAGCCGTCGCATGTCAAGCTGTGCTTTGGTACGTGTGCCCAGCGAGGAGACGAAGCAGGGGCCACCAGCAACAGGAGACACCAACAAATTGGATTTGCATCTTTCCTATGGACAAATTGGAAAGTGATTTCGTTTTTGTTCCTCAAAGCTCCCCGAGCTGCATCGCTTGGGGGAAGAGGCAGGGCTGGTGAAGGTGTTGCGTGTTTTCTTCTGCTCCTGCCTGCCATGGGTACCCATGGCCAAGGAAGCAGGCACAAGGCATAGGAGTCCGAGATGCTTTCTTTAAAATGCCCCAGCATTGGCACAGCCACAGCATTGGTTTCAAAGAGCCTATGTAGCAATAGATCTTTATTTCATTTCCCAGACCTGTGGTTGTAGGCAGCAGGATTTCCAGGCAGGGCCGTGGCATCCTGGCCTGCTGCTCCCTCTATGCAATTCCACAAAGCGGTGCCCAGCTGTACTCGGCTCCTGCCACGGTGGTGGAGGTGTCCCAGAGAAGAGGTTTTACAGCTGACAAGTCCCTTAAGGGTCTGCTTGGTGTTACCCTGGTGGAGGACCACTCGCAAGGTGGTTCTTTCCCAAGTTCTCAAGGTGACAAGGACAGTGATGAAGGTTGAGCCTGGTCTCTTGAGCGGAGGGGCCTGTCTGCTGGCCTTTCCCTCGCAGGTCCAGCATGGCGAGCAGGCTCGCCGCCTTTTTGTTGGCCAAACAGAAAAAGGGACTGCTGGCTTGGGAGGCCTGCTGCCATGAGCAAGCTGCTGGAGGTGCAGTGGCATCTACTCACAGTGCCCAAGCTGAAGTCTGGTTTTACTTTTAGCGGGTTAAGTGTCAGGGTGGAAAGGGCATAGGAGTTGGGGAAAGGAAGCACGTTGCCCAGGGCCTGATCTCAGCTCTTCTTGTTTAGATCACACAGAAATTAACCACCAAGGAAGGAAACCTGGGCATGATGGGTGCCCACATGCCTGCTTGCCCTTCATGCACCAAGTCTTGGTGGCCTGTCCATCTTCTCCCCATCCCAGAGTGTTGCTGCTGCACAGCCCAAGCCATTGGTTGGAGGTGTACAGGGACCTTGGGACACGCACTCCACAGAAAGAGGTGGTCCAAAATCCTGTTCCAGCATCTGCTTCCCCCCTAGAGGTGAAGGGCCTTCATCAGGAAGGTAGATCATTGGAGGAAGCAGGAAATAAACCAGTCTAGATGTGCTTTTTGACCTTACGGTTCAGAAGGGGTGGCTGCAGGTGGGATTCCCACCCCTTCAGTGGAGCCTCTGAGCAAAAGCTTCTTTAAGTTTCTAAGGAGACTTAAAAAACTAATTTTTTTGTCTCAGAGGCTGCTTCAATAGCATAACCTGACCTGAAGCCTATGTGAAAGCCCAGCACAAAACTTCCACTAAATTACTTTCTGGGATCCAAGAGTTGGACTCGATGATCCTGATGGGTCCCTTCCAACTCATCATATTCTATGATTCGATGATTTATCAGGGTTTATTTTGCCTTGTGTACGTGTGGTTGGTTGTGTTTGTAGCAGGAAGAGTGTCAAAGGGAGCACCCGATCTTTGTTTGGATGTAGCCAGCCAGACTACAGCACTCTCAGCTTCTGTTGCTCTGTCCAAGGCCCCATCTTCTGCTGAGATTCTAGCCTTGGCTGTCCTCTCCCTCTGCAAAGCAGGGATAACCCTATTAGCTACCTCACAGGGGTGTTGTGAGGAGTCAAGTGTTGCTGTTTGAGGAAAAGTGCTCTATGAATGTTCAGTATTTGTGTTTTGAGACACCACTGGTCCTTTCTAGGACAATGGTGCTTGAGTTGTTTTTAATTTAGAGTATGTTTTCCCATAACTCTGCATACTTAAACCTATTTATGTGTTAAAATACCTGAGCAGTATTTGAGGACAGATATCCATTGCCTTTTGTTGGTAGCCCACTGGCCATTGGAGCTGACTGTGAAGCAACGAGAAGCATCTGAGGGCTGTTGGTCACATCTTGGCTTGGCTTCTGTAGCCTGGGGCTCTGTCCTCTCCTTGAAGCCCATATAGGACTCCTGCTAATGCATCTGAGCATTTGGCTCACGGGTGCAGGAGCTGACACCTCTTTCCCCTCATTTTGACCTGTTTTCCCTCATTTCAGACACACAGCCTTGGCACATCATGTTGCTTGTGCACCCGTGCTCCTCACCCAGCATATGTCTGGGATGTTTTGCAGTATTAACATGTAAGAAGGTGGTTTGCTCTAATTTTGGAGAGCTGTCAAATGCACAGTACTCATTGCATAGCGTTTGGTGCATGATGTTCAACATAAATTTTGAGGGGGTGGTTCCTCCCCTTCAAACCCTAATAGGAATGAGCAGCAAAGTTCTCAGTCACCTCCATGCCTGGGGGAAGCCACCAGCTGGTTTCAGTGACCTTTGGACCAGGCACACAAAGGCTCCTCCTTTCCACCAATGTGCTTCTTGCTGGGAAGGTCTCTGAGCTCCTGACCGTGCCACCTAAGAAGTTCTTCTCCAGCCTGCAGGCACTGAAAGCTGGTAGGTTTGGGAAGAGGCCCTTTGCCACAGCTGGCTGGGAGCCAGCAGCGCGCAGTGCTTTCCTTCAGCACATCAAAGCATGATCTACAAGGAGATGACGAATCCTGCCTCCTCTTGTCTGCAGACCTGCCTCCTGCTGCAGACAGAAGTGCTGCCATGGCAGGTCTGTGGCAGCCAGGATGGGCAGGACACGGCCCAGCCTCTGTTTTTTTCACTGGGAATAGGAAAGGAAGGATGAGGGTGGCAGCTCAGCAGGACAAATTAACTGGCCTAAGCCACTTGCCCCCTGCCCAGCCTTCTTACAACAGTGTCAGCCCCTTGGCAAAAGGCACTCTTACTGTGAGCAAACTTGGGAAAGCAGCTCCCCTCGTCTTTGCCCTCAAGCCCTGAGACAACTCTTGCCTTGCTGTCTTCCATGTCAATGTCAAGACCAGTGTTGTGGGTTTGGGGTTTTTTGGGGGGTTGGTTTGTTTTTGTTGTTTGTTATTGAGCACTTTGAGTGGCTGCAGCATCGGTGGGCAGCAGGAACCATGGAGTCGAGTTCCAGTATGGGACTGTGGTTGAGGTCAGGGTTTCTCAGCTGTGCACTTTGAGAGCCTGGCTACCATCTGCTTTTCTTTTTAATTGCTATTCTTGTTTACAGTGTGGAACGCTTCCTCCGTGACTCTTTCTAATGTATTATAATTATTACTTAAAAGAAAAAACATTTTTATGTCTGTGCTTTTTTTTTTTTTTTGCCTTTTTTTCCTGTGTGGTTTTTTTTTTTAAAGGAAGTTTTTTCGGGGAAAAAAAAGTTATCATTCCTTTTTATGCTGATCCAAACTGTCCAAAGTATTTGATGCTGTGTTTTACATGGTTGTAATAATAATAATGGTTAAAGAAGTTTAGCAGAAAATCGGACTCCATGAGGTTTATTACAGTGACAGAATTGCAGCAAGACTGGTTGCCTTCTCCTGAGTTTTAGCCTGGTTCCCTGAGTAAGCTTCAGCTGCAGTGGTTCCCTTCTACTTCATCTCTGCTTTTCTCCCTGGTTTTCTGCTGTAGTTAAATCCAGGCATCCCCAGCAGCAATGGAAAGAAAAACGCTTCATCCCACATAGCCCTGTCCTCTCCCACCTGAGCAAAGGGCAGTATCCTGCCTGCAGCCCCTGAGCATCCCCTCTGACACATGGCCCCTTGCCCAGCAGCCCCTCTGCAGCTTCTTTTTTGGCCAAGATTTTGTGTCTGGAGTTTGTTTTCCTGTCCAGAGGCAGTGCTAGGAGGGTTGGACAGGACAGAAAGCTGGTGGACACAGCTCTTTGCACAGCAGGTGGGGGGTGGGTGCGACTCATGCTCATGAGTCAGGACTGAGTCACGTTTACGCTGGTTCCTGGGAGTGTAAGGTGGGGCCCTTCACAGCTGAAGATGAATTTTAAAAGCTGTGTGTGAGCAGTATCTCTGACACACCTCAGATTTTGTGGCCAGGGCTTCCTGCGCTTAGATGACCATGGTACTGTCGGCTTTGGGGTGTTAAATGGGAGCAGTATTCTGGCTTCCCTAAGAGAAGCTGCCATTTGTTCTTAAGAAACATGTTTATAGTAAACACAGGGGCATCTGTCTCTGCCAGAGCAGCACAGAGCGAACAAAGGCGACAGCAATTGGAGGGGCCAGGATTACCTAAATGCCACCCTAGGATTTAAGAGTAGTGCAGGAAATTGGCATCCCTGTGTATCACCTGCTGGGTGCTGTAGGCTGGTATTCCTGCTTCTGTCACTGCTGTGCCTCACCTAAAAGAGGCTCTCTAGTGTCTTTAAGTTAGCTAATTTACAACTGTTTAAAAACTGGTCTGCAACACTACCAAAAAAACCAGCTCTTGGCGCATCTCCCATGCCCTTTCACACTGGATGCCAGCCTGGGGAAGTGCCACCAAGAGCATGGGTGAGACATCCATGGGCTGGAGTGAAGCAAACCTCGTCCCTTCTGTGTTTCAGGCACCCACAAGCAGCCCGGTTGCACAAGATGCTTTTGTGTCACCTCCCACCCAACAGCCCCAGCTGGCTTTCAGGTGGTGGGGAGGAAGCAGCCAGGTGGGACCATGTTTGAACATCTGCCATGGTTACCTAAATGACAGGTGCTGCAGGGTTTAGATATGGCATTTATCCAACTGCAGGAACAGCCTCCCTGCCAAAGAGGGAGCATAAGTGTCCAGAAGGGCAGAGTTTCCCCCAGGGAAGGTGAGTTGTGCTAGGTTTGAGGGATGTGTTCCTCTATTAAACAGCCTTGGTTCACTTCATAGTTGAAAAAAAATGGATTGATACTGCTTACAGGTATCCTTGATTCCCATACTCCATGTGTGTGCCCAGTTGTGGCCTCCTGGCTGTGGCAGGGTACTCTCATCCTGCTCCTGCAAGGACCAGAGACAGGCAGGGCTCCACCACCCGCTTTTTGACAGTGTCCCTGCAGCTAATGCAGGAGACACAGCAGTACCCAGCCTTGAACTGGTGCTTAATGGAGATCCCCAGTAGGGTTTTGGGATGCCAAGCACCCACTGCACAGAGACCTCCCCAGGGGGAGACCACCCCTGGGACTTGCTCACTAGGACCTCCATCCCTTACCCAAGAAGTGAAGGACCTCAGGGTGAACATCAGCCTTGCCTGGTGTTCAGCCTGGGCTAAATGCCAGGCCTCCAGCTGGTGCTAGGAGCACCAGGCCATGGCATGCTCCCAGCATGGAAGTACTCATGTCCCTAAGGGGATGGGAGGGCAGACAGTCCCTGCATCAGTCAGGCAGCACCCCCTGCCCCCTCCTGTGTCCCCCCAGGGCCTGGCTGCTGCTCGAAGGGGACAAAGAGCAGGGCATTCCCAAAGCCCAACGTTACCAATATCCACTGTTGCTCGCTGGGTCTGTGCCAAGCCATGGCTGCGCTCCTCACCCTCCCTGCCCACCACCCACGACATGGAAAGCTCATCAACCCCCATTGTGTGCCTCTGCAAGGCTTCAGCCAGTCGGCACTGAATAATTGATGCTAAGTGGAGCCTGGAGCAGAGCCAACCTGAGGGAAAGGAGGAAGGCTTTGTGCTGGTTTAGGCTCTGGTCCCAGGATGTAGTGGGGGGAGAGAGATCGGTGTGCTGTGTCTGGCAGCTTTGCACCCCAGCCAGTTTGGCAGAGGGGCAGTGCCGGAGTTTGGCTGGGCCTGGGACTGTTCCTCCTCTTCGTCCCACTGTGCTGCTCACCTGCTGCCGTGTCCTGCTGTGCTGCAAAAGGGCTGTGGCAGTGGTGGCTGGGGGTTGTGGAGCAGAGTGAGGGCACACAGAGCACAGCAGCCATGGCTGGGGCTGGTACCTTGCCTCTGCTAAGCCACAGACCCTGTACTTGACACACAGAGAGCAGGGCCCATCTGCCCTAGGGGGAAGGAGCTGCACATGGGGCCAGCCCCATCTGCCTGTCCCAGTTCCCACCATTGCTGGGGGTCCTCTGAGCAATGTCACCTCCTTCTTACAGCACATCATCTACAAAGCAGCACATGGAGAAAAGAACAGCCTGGCAACTGAAAGAGGCAGGTCTGACCCCTTTCCAAACCATCTCCCAAATCCTACAACCTCAGCAGCTGAGGAAGCCCACAGGGCATACACCAGCATCCTCTTCACCTAGAAGGATGTGGGCACCAGGACAGTGCAGGAGACAAGCAAGCCAGAGCTGAAACAATATCTCACTAGTTGACGCAGCAGGCGGTCCCATCCCACAAGCATCCTCACTTACTGGCAGCAGTTACAGATGAGCCCAAGATGGTGATGGAGATGACTTTGAAGGCACACACAAAGACATGAATCTGAGGGACTGAAGTCACTAAAGCCTGGTTATTTAGGCCTATTCTTCCACATAGTAAAACAGGCTCCTCCTAAGACACAAAGAAAGGTAAATTAAGAAATTTCCATCTTGGTACAAAACTGGTATGAGGTCCCTTAGAGGTACCTGTGGATAGATGGGAGTGCAATACCACAAGCCCCTGCTTCCAACTATCCCATTAATAGCCTAGGCCACTCTGGTGCCTGGAGGCCACTCAGCCTGGCTCCACATCAGAGCCCAGCCCCTGGGATGCCTAAGCCTGCAGACAGACTTACATAACCTCAGGCAGCCAGTTGCATGGGGAAGCTGGTTCTTGGGTGGCTTTGCTTACCTTTATGGCTCCTGGTGGAGGTAAGAAGTGCCATATGGAGGTACCGCTTAGGCTGAGAAGGTCTGCAGCAGTGGCTGTAGTCCAGAAGGGAAACTTGGTCTGCTCCTCTTTACCCAACCAGACTGCAGGTGAGGAGGATGAGGCCAGCATTTAGCCAAGGCTTCTCCATAAAACTCAAGCCTTTCATTCAGCTACCCTTGCCACTACCATCCCATCTCAGAGCAAAGAGCCATTGCTGCCAGCTCCTGAAAACTCAACCCAGGTGCTTGCCAAAGCCTTCAGCAAGCACCATGTGCTCATCTGTTTTGGCGTCACCATCTCTGCTGGCTTAGGAAAATGCTTCTGTCAAAGCCCTCAGAGACCAAAAGGCATGAGATCTGTTCCAGCATTTAATCAGCATCTTTAAGGACTTGTAAGCAATTATCTCAGTTGACTCAGCTGTGATGTCTCTAGAGCCCCAACCCCACTGTAATAGGGTGTGGGGCTCTTGAACGATGTGAGAGAAAAACATACATTATACATCCTGAGACATGTGGACCTGACCAGACTAGACCAGACCTCGTCAGCTATTCTGTCATTTAAGTACAGGTTCAAAGGTGGCTCTCCTTCATCACAGGAGATGCAGTGTCAACAGATGATCAGTAGGATGCTGACTGAAGCCTTCTCAGAAGTGGTGTTCACACTTGCTGGAGCACAGCACCAAGTTTTGTTCAGCCTTGCCATGACCAGCTGAAGAGATCACAAGAGCCAAATGTGAGCTGATGTGCTCAAATATAGCAAAAACTTTCCTCTGTGGACTCCTGCAGCTTCCAGCTATGGAGGATCAGCCTTTCAGAATAACTGTACATTCTGCTCACCTAAGCTTGTGCCACAGAAGCAGAGCTGAGATAGGCAACAAACTCCTTGTCATAAGAGAAATGACTGCAGTGTCCAAAAACTGCATTTTCCAGTCCAGGCACTTCTAGAACAAATGTGCCTTAAAACCTATGGGGAAAATCAACTCCAAACCCCATAATTTCTTCTCCAGATCTGCATTCACTCCAGTGAAACTGAAATCCTGACATTACTTTCAGACCTGAGAAGTTCAGCTAGCAAGCAGAGAACAAACACATCATAAGCTCATATACTGACCTTCTGCCTGTCATGGGCAGCAAGTTGCTGTCCTGTACCCAAATTACCAGCACCAAGGTAGCAAGTGAAAAAGCCAAATCCTGAGTAACAGCTCCACCTGAGAGAAGTGATACAATCTGGTTTTTTGCCTACAGCAAAGATCAGATCACAGCTGATGTATCTTACTGCATATTGAAGATCTGTCATGATTCTCCTCCTGGAACAAAGATGCAATACCACAATCATACACAATTAATACATGATTTCTGGAAAAGGGTTGTGGTGTCAAGCTTTTAGCACCTTTTTGCTCCCAAACTATCTCCAATTTTCAGCATGGATTCGACCCCAAGTTGGAGTTTCTTGTGATCTTTCAATTAACACAAAAGGCTAACCAGCTCCTGAGATGGTCATGTTACTGACCAGCACTGTTTGAAAAAGGGTTCTGGCTGCCTTGCTTCCGCTGGGTGCAATCCACAAAAGGCATGAGATTGGTCTGCAAACTGCCAGACTCAGACCATCACCTATCAGCCAGGTACCCCTCAGATGCTTGCTGTCTCCAGTTCTACCTCTTACCTGACCACTGGATTTCCGCAATGCTGTCCTGTCATAGCACTGTCCTACCACCTGCACCAAGGTGAAGGGAGACCTCGGCTGCTGAAGAACTCTTAGGGCCATTTGCAGAAGCCCAGTGTTTCCTAGCACATCTACGTCTGCTTTAGCTATACATAAAACAGGACCATAACCGGCCACACCAGAAGAGACTGTCAGTGCCTGAAACCACTTGGAGTGTACAACAGAAGAAAGCTGGGAAGTTTCAACCGCACTCTTCTGCTGTGAAGAAAAGCCTGTCTGGTGCCTGATGGTGACACTGAATGCTGATCCGTGGATGAAACAGCTCATTTTCAGTACCCCTTGGTGCTACAGCCAGGAAGAGTTGTTCAAGGAAGCAACAGTATTTTGCAACTAGAAGGTGCTCAAACAAGCTACGATAACACATGTGACTTGATCAGACACGGAGCTTTCCTGAACAAGCTGGAAAACCTTACTCTGAGGAGTGCAGAAATCTCTCTCTGAAAAGGAGATGCTCCCACTTCAGCTTCCTGCTCCTGACCAAGCTGCTGAAGTAGTTTGCATCCTGGCCAGTGTTGCTCAAGCACACCCACACCAAGACGTGCCAGTTTCTTGTCACTGCAGGTGGTGCCTGCCCTGCGAAGACACCTCCTCCCTGGTACTACCAGGAGCTCCCCAGGGGAGCTGCTTAACCACAGCTCCCAGTCCTTCACTGCGGCATCTGGCTCCCCACCAGAAATGAGAGAATACTCTCTGTGGTTAGAGCCATCCAGAGTCCAGTCCTTGAGAGAGCCCCAGACACAGAGTTACTTCTCATCTGCAGGCCTCCAGATATAGCTATCCCATCCTTCACCAAGGGCCTGGTAAAGAGCAGATAAAGAGCACCAGGTTCCTAGTGCAGAAACACCACCAAGCAAGCGCTCCCATGTCAACCCACCCCCCAAACTGTTAAGGCTTCTTCTAGAAGCAGCTTTCTTCTAGTCATCTTCTAGAAGGACAAAGTATCCCTGCCCTCTGCCCCATGGGCAGTTGCACACAGGCTGCCAACTTAGGAACAAACACCATTCTTCTAGGCTTCACACTTGAAACAACTTAGATTGAGAGGTTTTTCTGGGAGCCTCTGGTCCAGTCCCACCACGTAATACCAGACTCAGCAACTTTAGCACTCCTCCAGCACAGGGAGAGGTGCTGCTGCAAACAGCACACCCAGCTAAAGGCAGGGCAGCTCTTCCCTTGGGCGACTTCTCCCACTCCAGCTGGTATCAGTCCTTCTCCTATGGGAACAGGGTGCCAGGCATCTGCAGCCAGGGTGGGGGCTGTGCCCCACAGCAGTTCGGGAGCAGGCACGTACAAAAACCCAAGCCATTAGCACAAGTCCTCTCTTGCCCAGCCCAAAAGCAAAGGCAGCACCTCCAAGCAGTATGGGAGTTGAATTCTGCTGCTTTAATTCTGCTGCTGCCTGGCATGACGGAGGATGAGGAGTGGGATGGAGGCTGTTCACATGGATGCTGTGAACCCCTGGGTGGGCTGTGGCTTTGTGCTGCGGGTGACCAGGGTTTCTGTGCCAGTTTTGCCACACGAAGCATGTGATTCACACACCGCTCTCACCACTCCCAACCCTGACCGGCCTTGGCTGCCAAACCCAGCACCCCTTCAGGCCTGGGCTAGCCCGTGCAGAACAGCTCTCTGCCACACTCAGCTGGATCGCCTTCCCCCTTTGGTGCTTTTTATTCTGGATGCCAGCTAAATTAGCCTGTGCAATAGCTCGGGAGAGGGAAAGGCAGCAAGTACTGAGCCACCCGCAGTGCTGAGCACAGTGCCTCATCTCGGGGCTGCGAGTGAAATGCGCACGGGTCAGAGCTCAGGCAAAAATCACAAAGAAGCAGAGATGGGGTTCCCAACATATTAGCCCTTATCCAAAACACTCTTACGCACTCTAAACCCAAGACTGGAAGCCTGAATCCTTTAGTCTTAGTTGCTGAGCAGCCAGGCAGCTGTCTGCAATGCAGGAAAGCCCTTTTCTACGTGCTCACCAGTAACGAAGCCACACATGGGGCAGATGAGGATTTGCATCCTTTTACACACTGCCAGCAGACTGGAACAGCCTAAGGTATATGTACTATACAGGTGTTAGCACTAGCTAGGTGCTGGAGGGGACCAGAAAGACCTAATTCTACCTCTGGAGCACAACACATTTATGGAGGTCTTGGGCCAGAAAGAGTTGCCTGGAAAAAAGTCACAGAAGCAACTAACTGGCACCAGCTGAAGTGAACCTGGCTTTTGGATCTCCTCCCCATTGCTTCTTTCCTTCCAGGCATTGCATCTGAAGCCATAAAAAAATCCCACAAGAACTAGGCTGAAAGCAAGGCACTCAAGGGAGCACTGAGGACAGGCTTGGACTGGTTGGATTCTTCCATCCTACCAAAACTTGGAGCCAGCAGAGTGTCAAGTGGGCTGGAGGTGACGAGATCATGACAACAACTTGCTGGAGACAACGACAAGCTGTCTTCCCCTGAAAGGCAGCTTGTCTTTCCCACCCCAATCACCTTTATGATCTACAGCATGACCTTGGTCTGTGGAGAGCAAATATCAGCACCCTTTCCTCCCTGCCATCCCATCAGCAATCTTTCAGGAGCACCAGCAGCAGCACCCTCTGGAAGGAGAACACAGCCATCAAGATGATTTGTCGAGACCATCAAATAATAATTTACTGTGATTCAATCTGTGGCTTTGTACAGTTGCCGGGGTGGGAGGAGGCCAAAGGATGAGGGGATGGGGATAAAAAAAGAAAAAATGTTGTTTGCCGCAGGCTTGGGTGAAGTGCGAGATAGTCCTTGGAGGGCTCATGCTCACCCTGTCCTCTTCCTCCTCCTCTACCCCTCCCCCATATTCCTCCTCTGAATCCATTTGCTTCTTCCTTCGCTTCACCTCTGTCCTTGCGCACTGCACAGCGGGAACCTCTCCAAGACACGGTCCAGTCAGCTGAAACCAGAAGAGGACACTCATTAGCACCCATTCACCATCAGAACCATCGGGGCTGTTTCCATTTCTAACCCCTCCTGCTCTGGGATGACCCTGCTAGTGCCCACAGAGAAAAGCAAAAGGCTGCACAGGTCTCAGAGGCCTGGGCCTGGCTCAGCAAAGCATCTGCACATCTGCTGAAGGGAATAAGCTCTGGAGTCTATGGAGTGATGGGTGAACCCCAGGCACCTCACCAGACCTTCTGCCTCTGCCTGAACCTCCTTGTGGGAAGGGGCACTGTTTGGCAAGATCCTCCCCTCTCCTCCAGGGATGATGGGAACCACAAAATGAATCCAGGGCAAATGCAACCAAATTTCCCTGGCCACACACCCACCCTTTCCCTCCCCAAATCCCAGCATGCCTTTGCCTCGCTTCTCCCTTTGTGCTTTGATGTTCCTCCCTCTCTGCTGTCGGCCACTGCAGCTAGAGTAAGCTGGGATGTCTGGTTTCCAGTTTCTGCCTGAGCAGAAAAAGACTTGGGCAACTCACAGGGCATGCTCTTTTAAGAGAGAGGAGTGTTTCCAAGAGACTCCTTCCCTCCCCTTCTTGCCCACACCAGTGCTACCACCAGGCTGTGACAAGGACTAGGCTCCTGGCAGTGTAAGGGAGCAGCAGTGTCTGCCAAGCCCATGCCGTCAGCTGTGAGCCAGAGCAGGAAACGAGCCTTGAGCTCACATCCCCATCCGGAGGAAACGCTCCTGAACATCTGGAGGACCCAAACATCTGGAAAATCTCCCTTAGTAGTGATAAGTGTGCTGGGCACAGCATTTGGCTCGGCCCCCAGATGACCTCACGTGCCTCAGCTGGGAGCAGAGGGGTGGGGTCCTTGGGTAGTATTTTGCTCATAGGAAGCAAACGTTGCTAGCGTTTTTTTGTTTGTTGGGGTTTTTTTTGGGGGGGTGGAGGGCAGGAGGAAGAGCTCTGCTGTGCTCATGGCCTTTGGCTCAAAGAGCAACAGAAGGCAACCACCAGCTGCCCACCTCTGCCTTCAGGAGACCCTCCTAACACCATCTCTGGATATAATGCACTTCTCTTTAGGACTCCAGCAGTTGTTAAAAGGGGTGAAGGGCCAGTCCAGGTGCTTGGGAGACTCCCAAAAGACAAAAGACATTAAGGGCAACGTTCATGCAGGCTTTTCTCCCACATCCCAGTCCCAGATATTCTTAGATATAGATCTCATCCCCAGTTGCCCCTCTCTCCACTTCTGCCATGGAACGAGTTGGTTACACAGACAGATATTCCCAGGCCTTTGGCTTAAGACCAGCCAGCACATGCAGGGACAACAATAGGAGCTCTCCCTGATTGCTATCCAGCAGGATTGCAATTATTTAAATAAACTCATCCTAAAAAAAATAACAAGGAAAGAAAAAGAAGAAAAACAGGCAAGTGAACATAAACAATCTGAAAAACACTGTTTCTGGCTCCAGCACACACAATTTATAAAAGCAAAACAGCCCCCTTATGGCTAATTCTCAACATTGCATCAGTTCCAAATATCCCAGGGGAAATATCTAATGGGGAAAACTCTTCTGAGGAACACAGGACTTTCACAGCAAGACAGGTCTGCTCTACAACTTTAGGATGAGGCAATTTACATGAGTGCATTAGGAGGCAATGCACCCACCCTGCTCTTCATCTGAACTCCTCTAGAGCCAGTCTGGTGAGCAGGCAGCGAGCTGTACGCCTTCAACATCAGCTTAACCTCTCTTTCAGAGCAGTAACATGGGAACAAGCTTTCCTGGGGAAAGCACAACAAAACACACTTTTTTTTTAAAGTTCAGTTCTATAGAATTTTGTCCTACAAAATGAGGGGGGAATAATAAACAACCCCTTCCTCTCCCACGCTTCCTCAGGGAGGTGGGAATTTTGACTATTGCTATTTCAATCAAAAAGGTGTTTAATTCAAAAAATATCTGCTGCTGAAATTGTTTCTGCCACATTTGTTTGCAGACGAGTGCATCCGTAGTCACCACCTGCCCTGCTTCCAACGTATCTCCATGGCACTCCATCACCTCCTGCCCATATAACCCCTGCACCACATCTCCTGCTTCCACAACTCACCATAGTCACGATACCACACATTTACAGTTCATGCAGCCAGGGCCGCTCTCATCCGGGGGATTCAGCTTGCGCAGTTTATGCTGACGGATTTCCCGCACCAAGGTGTAGAAGGCATCCTCAACGCCCTGGGGGAAAAAAGCACCACTCCAAGCAGCTGCCCACTTTGAGAGGGGACAGAGGAGAGAAGAGAGGGCTCTGCTACCCAGCAAGGTCTTCCTAGCCCTGTCTTCCAGCAGCGCAAATTGCAGAGTTAAAGGTAGAAAACCATAATGCAGAGACTTAACAAGGACCTTAATGTGGCCCTCAAACAGAGAGAAAGACTGAATGAGCAATCACAAGGCCAAAGAGCTCTCGAGTCCCTGAGTTTCATGAGCTTTTAGCAGTCTGAATGAGTTCTACCACCAAGAGAAAAGCCACCACTGGACCACTGAAGGTGTCAGCTGCTCCGCTTCCACCTTTGTGCTGTGGGAGCCCCATGTGGTCCTTCCAGCACTGGTATATTCTGCCTATAGGTCTGCCAAAATAGACCACAGATGAGGTTAGCCAAGGCCCCTGAGCTTAGCTGACCTGCAGTGACTATGGGGGTTATTCCAGAGCCTTGGTGAAAGCCCTTAGAAAGTACCACTGCTGCCAGAGCACGAATTACACACTTCTCCAGATTGAAGGCTCAAGCCCAGACTGGGGAGAGAACATCCTGATGGAGCGCTTAGCCTTGAAGAAGCAACTAAGCCCCAGCCCTTGCACCCATCTGTCTGCAAGCTGGCGTCTGCCTGTTCCTGCCATTCCAGAGCAGCAGTGGAGAAAAGAAAACAAGAAGAATATTTTGTTTAAAACCCTCCTCCTACCTGTCTGGTTTTGGCAGATGTTTCTATGTAGGGGATCCCGTAACTCCGGGCCAGGTCCTGCGCTTGCCGGGTCTCCACTGTCCGGGCTGGTAGGTCACATTTATTCCCCACCAGCACCATAGGAACATCATCTGAGTCTTTCACCCTCTTGATCTGCTCCCTGAAACAGGAAGAAGCGACATAGTGAAGGGAGAAAAGGCATCAGGGGCAGCTCCAGAACACTCCCCACCAGCTTCTTTGTCAAGAATTAACAGCTACGCCTCGCTCCTGTCAAGTGCCTTGTGCTGGGCTTTCAGGAAAATGTAAATGACTATGGCACACAAGTGAATAAACTGCAAAATAGCTAGGGCACTTTTGGAAATGAAAACTAAACATACTTCTGCTCTTTAACTGCAATTATTTACAAAACAACTTGAATTATGACAATCTATATTAAGAAGTGACCTTAAGGTAGTTTAAGCTAAATAAAAATGAATTCTCAAGCAGTTACCTGTGCCATTTCCAACATTTTAGATCAAGTAATCCCCCCAAACTGGGGATAAAAACAATAAAAAATCAACTGCAACCAGAATTTGCTGAGCTGATAAAGCAGCTTTTGGCAGCTGTAACCTTTTCTGCAGATGCACAGGCAGTATTTGCTCCCTCTCAGTTTAGTTCAGGTCATTCAAAGTTGAGAAACCAATTGGGAACTAAAAAAACTGTAATGCTCACTTCTTCATTCCAAGCTTGGATCTAAAACTAGGTGGGTGAGGATGAGATGTACCACTTCTAAAAGACTTGAAGTCCATTATGACCACAAACAATCCATTCAATTCCCTTCTGATAGATAATAACTTCCTTTGCTTAATAAATCATGTAACTTCAGCTTTTTTTTTTTTTTTGCTCATGCATCCAGAACATTTAACATGGTTTTATTTAACTAATAATAGTATTATTTAAAATGCCAATTTCTGCATTTTAATTTAATGCAAATTTCTATCCAAAGGCAGCTGGACATGTAACACACACAAAAAATCATTTTTTTTTAATGTAGTAGAACATAGAAATGAAGTCTTACTATATGTATGATATGCCATAAAGCCATTTAAATGTTCCATGTAACATCCTGATCAGCAAATGCAAGTACTAAATTTAGTGCACAGGCTACACTTAGCTGAAAAGAGATACCTTCAAATGGTTACTAACCAGGGAGAGCTAGCATTTCTCTGGGGAATATTCTTTAAAAGTGCAAACACAAAGAGCAGAGGCTAAAGGAGATGAAAGCCAGTGATTTACATCACAATCATGATGACTTGAAATCGTGCCATCCTGCAAGCCATTCACAGGCACCAGCCCCAGCACAAGGATGAATGTTGCTTAATCCCTCAGGTGCTTTAGGAAAATCCCATCCTTTGTCCTCCAGTTCAGCTAAAACAAACCAAATTAGTCCACCTGTGCAGCTACTACACTGAACAGCCTGCTCGCTGAGACTGAGACAGCTTAGAGCAGCACCTCAGGACTATGGAGCAAGGAAGGGCTGTGCCTGTGCTCGGAGCAACAGGATTATTGGAACAGCAGTTTATGATGGGGGACTAGGGTACACAGTCCCTCGGTGGGCAGTGGCCAGAGCAGGGACAGGCAGAGCCATCTCTTGCATCCTCTGCAAGTGCCTCCCATCACAGCCAAGCCTCAGAAAAAGGCATAAGGCAGAGCGATCCCTCCCTAAGCATCAGGATAAACAGGGAAGATTTCTGCTGTGTTTGTATCACCTTCTTGGCTCTCCAGCTCTGCAGGGCTGATGTCAGCAGGGAGAAAAAGTGGGATGGGTTACTCAGGTGCAGCCAAAGCAGGACTATGTCAGGATGAGGTCCCTGCTTTGTTGCCGCTTCCCCATACATTGTCTTGGGCAAATCAGCTCACTGGGGCCCTGACTCCCCTCCTGTCAGTCTTTGCCCTGGCTGAAACCAAGCTCCAAAGCAGCAGGACTGCTTTTCCCTGCATGTGTGCAGCTGGCAGACTACAGCCTCATCACAAAGGCAGCCCTCCCTGCCCTTCCCAGCCTCCTCTCCCAGCTCCAGGGCCCAGCAGAAGTCCCTGAGATCGACTGCGCTAACAGAGCAATTCCACTAATTAGGGAGGGAAAGGAGGGGGTCATACAGGATCAGCTCTCTCTTTAGTCACCATAAACACTTAAACATTACATTACCGAGTCCCCAAAGGCCACGAGCAATCCCTTCGGATGGGCTTTATTGGAGTCACTGACATTAGCCGTCTGCTCCGTCTCTTCCCTGGGGAATGGCCACTTGAGCTAATTGTCTTTGCTGGCAGCCAGTGCTTCCACCACTGGGCCTGAACTAAAAGGGTGGGCAGGAGGGTGCAGAGGCAAGGCCTCCCCTTTGCACGGGGCAAAAGGGAAAGGGCCTTTCCCAGGATACTGACCTGTACTGGTGAATATCTTCAAAGGACTTGGTGTTGTTGATGGCAAAGACACACAGGAATCCTTCCCCTGTTCTCATGTACTGGTCTCTCATGGCACTGTACTCCTCTTGCCCTGCGGTGTCCAAGATGTCTAACAAGCAGGTCTCTCCATCGATGACCACTTGCTTTCTGTAGGAATCCTGAAGGCCAGGAGAGGGAAAAAAGGGACGAGGATGCATTAAGGGAGGGCTTGGGTCCGGCTGAACAAAGGGATGCAGCAAGTGCATCCGTGGGAACATGCCAGGTCATGCTCTGCCTGTGTTTAGCTTCTATTAAAGAGACAACTCAATCTGTTTCAAAACCGGGAGGAAAACGAAAAATAATAAAAAAAAAAACCAAAGGGAAAAGGGAGTAGCTAAGCAGGTTTCTCCTGGTCTTTTAGAGCCACAGAGAAGACAGCTCCTGGCTTGCTCTCCCCATTCCCAGCCCTGCCTCTGGCAGAGCAGGCGCAGCTTCATCTCTACCACGCTGCACAGCCCTCGGCAACTGTTTCCTAAGGATTATTTAGTCCCAGCACTAATCCCTTCTGCTGCCACCCTGCCTGGGTGCTGGAAGGGGACACTCAGGAGAGGAGGCTCCAGCCAGCCAGGGCTTCCAGCCACCATCTGTGATCTGCAGGACTAGAAGGTGTTGAAGATGACCTGGAAATCCAGTGCCTCCAATGCATCTCGGATCAGGCACTGGAGGCAATATGCCACCAGTAAGGCTGCAAACTAGGTTTGATGGTAAACCTCTTCTTTAAACATGAGAAAAAAACCCAAAAAATCATTTTGTGAGCTGGGTGTTTCCCACAACCAGTTTGTGCCCAGAGGGCTCCAGGAGAGGCAAGAACTATCCTGGCAGGTCCTTTCAAGTTGGGGGTTTTCCCTGCAGCAGAGGCAATCACAACTTATCACAGATGTGAGGAGGCCTGGAAATCACCCAGGGCATCCCTCAAAAGGTTTCATTTTGAAGGCAGGCTCCTCAAAGCATTGCTCCTTCCCACCGTGCCTCTCCCTGTGCTCAGTCTCATCAGCAGGGATGCTGCTGGGGCAGCCCCTGCATGGAGGACAGACTCCTCCCCCTCTAAGAGCCATCCCCCGTGGACAGTGCAGCATCCTCAACCCCCAGCAAGAGAAGGAAGCCAAAACGAAAGGTATGAAAAAGGTGCAAGTCAGCGCTATGACCACAACAGTGCTTTGCAACCCCTCGCAGAGGCTACGGCTGCAGTTTAAAATTAATTCAAATGTCGGCTGCTCTTCCAACGACCACAACAATGTTATCAGATGAGCTTTGCAGGTCTGCAGACAAACAGCCGACACAGCAGAGGCCACAACAGGACCAGCAGCAGCACAGAAAGGGAATGGGGCCAACAGAGCCTCCATCCTTTTGGTCATTACTAAACATCATTTGCTGGGACTAATCGAAGTCTTTCCTCACCTTGCAGAGAGGGGTGTGAAATCAGAGATGAGATCTGCTCTGCCACGACCTTCTTAGCTGTGCCTTCCCAAAAAGTGGACTGCTGACCCATCGAGAATAAGCACCGAGTGATGGGCTGGCTTCCAGCCAACCACTCTGAAGGCAAATGGCAGGCTGCCCTGCAGGAATGTGCTCCCACTTCTAATCAATAATGAATCTGGAGCCTCCTTGGTGCAAGGGGACCCTAGTGCCTGCTCTGCCCAGCAAAGCATCCTCCCACCCCTGCACCTTGGCTTGTGTACAGAGGACCAGCCTCTTGGCACATGTGTTCACAATTAACTGCCAAGTCCCCAGCTACAGGAGGTCTCTCAACCATACAGCATGCAGATGGAGGACAGATCCCACACCTCAGCTCAGGTCATCAACAGGCTGCCCATGAGGCCAGCCACCCTGCTTACTAGGCAAAAGTATTAACTGCCTTGCAGAGGATGCTTTGCTTCCTGCAAAGGAAAGGGACAAGCTCTCCCCATTATTGCTTTGTGTACAGCTCCATCCAAATCCCGCCTCAGGATGGCAGTTCAGCCACACTACCAGGTGACCTGGCTGCCACTGCAGGGGTAGCTGCCACCAGCCCACATCAGCACCCTGCCTCAGTGTTCCTCTGCAGCCCCTCATATCCTACCCTACCTTCCTGCAGAGGGGAAAGCAGCCAGACCCAGCTGTGAAGTGCCAGTCAGCAGAAACAACATCTGTCTGGGGTTCAGACTCATGCTGGGAGCATCCCGGGTGTGCTGGGGGACCAGGCCAAGATGTCCACTTCCCAAACGCTACAGTCAGGATATGAGCAGAGGTTTGGGAAGCCCACTACTAGCCAGTGGCTAGAAGCCAGAAGATGAACCAAAGAATTTCTCAACACAGTGAAATTCTTTACTCCATCCCTGCTCATTCACCATGGGACAATGCCAGTAGCATACATTTCCTTGGAGTCTTGGCCCTCCTGTTCACAAAATAAAGGTCTTAAGGTTCCTCAGCAGTAACAGAGCAGGCATGCAAGTGTGTGCTGTCGTGGGTTGGACACCGTTGAGTTACAAAGCCAAACGTCTGCAATAGGGAGTCAGGAGGGGAGCAGGCATCCAGTCCCTGCCCCAGACAGGGGACAAAACCCTCCTGCCCTAGAGAGCATCTTCTCGGTGCACCTTGACCCACTCACAACCCCCTTTGCTGCACAGCTTGTGCTCAGTCCATTTGGGTGACAGGCAATGCCTTTGCTCCATGCACAAGTACTCTTTTTTTGCTCCCTTTTATCCTGCTCATTTCAGCATTGCTGTGCTGCTTGTTAGCTGGCTGAACAGTCATAGTCAGCTCCTGGGCACGATCCAAAGCAGCTTAGTCACAGGAGGGTGGTTTGTTGGTCACATTTGGATGGCTGGCAGGTATCTCTCTGTGCGTCCTCAATCCCCATAAAATGAATTATAATTAAAAGAAGTCTCCTAAAATGAATGAGAAGATGTTGGGGTAGCAGGGAAAGGAAGGTACAACCAAGGGAGCTGCAAAGGCATCAGGGCTGGTGGGACCTGCAAGTGGAAAAGTACCAGGGGTGAGAGGGCTAAAGAGCTTTTGGAAGAAAAGAAGAACAGAATGGGGTTGGAGGGAAGAGGGGAGGAGAGAGCAGCGTCTCCGGGGCACTGCAGGAGTGACTAGAGTGAGGAGGGTGTGCTGGGAAATGCCATGCAAGGTTTACATTCCCCACTGCCTGTTTACATGGAGAAAATTCCCTGCAGGGTACATACAAGGGGCAGGCAGCTGGAGACAAAAAACACAGGATGCCAAAACCCAACACATCACTGGGTGAGAGCTGCCTCTGCCCACCTAAGGTCCAAGAAAGGACTCATCCATGCAGATGTTTCCCCAGGGAGGCTGCTCTCCATCAACAGCTCTTTTGCCGAAAACAACCTGGAATGGGTTTCTAAGGAAAGGATACAATGCTACTGGGGATGAGCACATGAGGGGAGAGGAGTTGGGGAACAAGGCAACTGCATCCATAAGCAAGGAGGCTCAGGAGTCCTTAAATTAAATTCCAGTCTCTGCCATAGGCTTTCTAGGTGACCTTGGCCAAATGACGTAACAGCACATGCTTTTTAAGTGCTTTCTCTTCTTCCCATGTGTAGGACTGTAAGACTATTTCAGCCTTTCTACCAAGCCTTGTCTTGCTTGTTTATTTAAGTTGTAAGCTCTTCAGGGTGGGGACTACACAGACAACACCTACCAGAATAGATTTCTGGTCCCAGCTGGGGCCTTTAGCCATTGTCATAATAATAACTGCAGCAACCACAGCTGTATTTATAAGCATCTGGCAGAGAATCCTTTAGGACTGCAGACAGGGAGGTCATTGTCCAAGAGGCATGACAGACCTGCAATTTGCCTTCCCAGGATGGACTTCTCCTGCAGAGCAGCAGCTGCTACCCACATCTCCCCCAACAAAGGTGTAAGTCACATAAAGGCTAAGTAGCATGTCGCTAGCTACAGTGATAGCAGACAGAGAACGGAATATATTTTTAAAAAGTAAAAAATAATAATAGTGTAATGGATATTGAAGACCAGATACCCCTCCACCCCCATACAGCCTGTGAAGGCCACACAGGGTCCCTGCCTGCTTCTTCAGGAAGGATGCTGAGCTAGACAGGTCAGTGCTACCATCCACACTGACTGCAAAACCCACACGTCAACCACTAACTCCTGGTGATGAAGCAGAAGCAGCACTCTGTGAACCACAACAGTTCAGCTGCTTGGCACGTCTCACTCAAATTGCAGGACATACATAATACAAGCAAACTCTGATAAAACCCATTTCATCAGTAAATCTCAAAACATCCTGCAGAAAAAGTCAACATATTTACTCTGATTTCGCAGGAGGAGAAATGGAAGCACAGGCACAAAATGGCTCTTCAATCCCAAATCTTTAATCCCTCCCTATGCTGTCATTTCATCAGAAAGGAGGACTTTTGTGCTGCCTCTCAGCATCTGCCTGGCTCTGCCTGCTTCTGCTGCCTCCTGTGTCATCTCTCTTCAGCAGACATCACTATCCTTCTGCAGGAGACACAAGTCGGTCACTGTGACCTCTGAACACGCACATAGCGACTCAGAATAGCTCTGCAAAGCAGAGGCACATTCCTAATCAAGTTCAGACTTGAGACCAAACTGAGCATGCTCTGGGTTGGAGACAAGGTGGAGAACAGCAAGAGGAAAACACACAGACAAGACAGACTCCATGCCCAGAGCCACCTACCTCTATCGTAGGGTCATACTCATCAACAAAATGGTTCTGAATGAGCTGTATCGTCAAAGCACTCTTCCCAACACCACCTGCTCCCACCACCACCAGCTTGTATTCAGTCATCTTCCAGCTGACCCCAGCTCAGGACTTCCAGGAGCACCACCACCTGCAAAGAGGAACACGGTCACCACGTTAGGAGAGGTTACTTTAACACGGGCAAAATAATCCATCAAACTGAATACAAAACTGTGTTTATCCTGTGGCACGTTGCAATCCTTCAGCCTGACAGTCTCAATGCGAACTTCACAGATTCCCTGAGCAAACTTCAAGGGGTAAGGGAGTGTTACTGATGAGAAAACAGAGGTACAGGCTGTGTAAATCAACACCTAAAGTAATCAGTTTAAGAGGTCTGGTATTGCAGAAGTGCTCAGTGTTGTCCCTGATTCACCTTAGCTCAAGATGACAATCATTTGATAGATTTGAAACCCCGGCCAATGAGGTTGAGATGTCAATTCCCACAAGAGCAGAGAAGAAGGTCCAGCCCCACCCAGATATGCTGTTACCTCCATGTCTTCAACCCTCAAGGCTGCATTAAACCTCAAACCACGTGGCAGGTTTTAGACAGTGGCACATCCACAGCCTCTGCCCATCCTCCAGCTAACGGTGCCTCCCACTGCGCTGGCCATCAGAGAGGGAGATCTGCAGAAGGGGCACCCCTGCTCCCAAGAGATGAAGTTGGCATGCCCAACAGGGAATAAAAAGCTGCTACCATGAAAAGCTCTAACTGAGAATGATGACTAGGGCCAGGATGAGCAAACTACACTTCTGCAGTACTGTGTACTTGCCACGGCCCTTCAGCAGGAGAAAATTCACATCCCCCCAACTCCTCCCTTAAACTTCTGCTCCGAGTCCACTGAGAAAGAGGAACTAATGCAGGAAGATTACAAAACCTCAAAGGTTTAAATAGAAATCCATCCTGGACTGCAGGCCCTGCCCTCTGAAAGTCACTCCAGGGTCTGACACTCATTCTCAGCTGCCATCTGCAAGCTCTGGGGAAGGCACCCAAAATGCAGCAGGTAGCAGGAAGACAAGCTCTCAGTTCCCTGTGACAGTCAGCCTTCAGTGCTGCCTGCAACGCTACTGCATGTGGATTAGAACATGCTCCTTGCACCCACCCCAGACAGTTAAATCACTCCATCCTCCTCCCAAGGCTTACCAGCCCTCCTCCCAAAACTCTGGAAGCTGGTACAAACTGTGCTGGCAATGGCCACTCTAGACCCAGACTGCATTTAATGCATTTGCTAACGCAGCAGAAATCTAACGGCAAGGAGGCCAGAACTTTTTGCCTTCAATCCCCACCTGAGTGCAACTCTAAACCACTCTGACAGCTCCATCACCCACTCGAACTGGGAGCAGTCAGACACAAACACCTCTTCCCAAAGCCCTTTTCTGAGCCACTGTCTCAGTAGTGGGAAGGCAAACAAAGCTCATGCCCTTCTCAGCACCCAGGATTCTAAAGAAGGGCAAAGGAGAGGGTGCAAAAGAGCAACCAAATAACAAACATGATGCCACCATAATGCTAACCAGGACCTCTGGTTTCTGTGCTGCTCTTCATTGCTGGAGAAGCAGTAAAACACCATGGAAAAGTAGTGATGAGAAGTGGGAAATGAAGTGCAAATAATGTCATAGCCTAGGTGCCTACCCAAAGTGCCACTACTTCCCAGGAAAGTCTGATCTGCTTCTCTTCTGGCAGCCAAGGAAGAAATGCAGACTGAAAACAAGACTACACGAAAGAACCTAAGTGATCTCACTAATTGACTGTGCACACATTGCTCTGCTCCATTAATGCACACCCTCACATCTATGACCTTCTCACATACTCTGCTTCTCAGGGACAAGAGAGATGCCCACACCAGGCTTCGTATCTCTCTGGGAAGAGACAGTTATCATGAGAGATGGTGACAGGATGAAATGGGGACTGAGGAGCAAATGCTGACTGACCATCTCCACCAACACTGCTGGCCAGGAGAGGATTGCTCCTGCAGCGAACAGCTTCACAGCTGAACACAGAGGGGTCTTGAGGGTCTGAAGAAACTCTGCAACCAGCTCCCATCTTTCATTACAGAGCAGGGAGATCTGCAAGCCCCAGTAAAACACATGGTGGCTGTAAATAAAGGCCTGCAGTGGCTACAATGGACCTTGCTCTGTATCTGATGCTGATGATGAAGCAGTTGCCACGATGACACTCAAGAAGGACTTCACAACTGCCCAGACCCATACGACTTGCTATGAGGCAGTGAGAAAAGCCTTGACTCAACATGGGGAGGAGAAGACATGAGTTCTCAAGGAGGAGGTCCTCCCTCAAGACCACTCCAGAGGAAGGCACTGCCTATCCCTTCAGAGGACCCTTAGTCCACACAGCCACACCAGCCTTCTGGTCCACCCTGCAGAAGGAGGTGGGGGCCAGGTGGTCACCCATGTCAGCTTAAGGGTCTTCCCCCACTCAGGACCCCAGCTGAGCTCCACTGCACAGCAGAGGGGCAGCTGCACACCAGCAAACCCTTCGCATCACCAGCTTAGCCAAGAGCTCTGAGATCTGGCTCCTCCAGAGAAACAGACCCACATCTTCCTGCTCCACACCCACCCAAAACGCAGGGGAAATGAGGGGGGCAAAGGAGCTATTGCTAACTCATTACTCATGGCCAGCACACAGACAATTTACATACAAGAACTCTGCAACAGTTGGTGTTTGCTCACACCATACCTAGAAGGTGCCATTGCCTCAGTTAACTCTTCACTGCTCTGCGTGCCATCCCTGCCCCAACAATGGCAGAAGAGATTCTGCAGCTTGCAGAGGACAGCAAGTCCAGCCTACCCACCTGTTTCATACCATTGCTGCAAAACATGTCCTAATGCAGAGCGAGACTGTGGGGAATGATGGACAGCTCTCATGCCCAAATGAACATATGCTAAAATCAATGTTCAGATGAGCTCTCTTCCTTTCCCAAAGGATCCACAATGCAAGCTCCTCACAGGCAGCTTTGCAGACCCAGCTGCACATCAGAGCATGTGCAAATGCCACAGAGGAAGCAACCTGGCCAAAGACTGTGAGGAAAGCAGGAATTTCCATAGGGCCAAACTCTGCTAAGGTAAGGCAGCTGATCTTATCCTTAAGTCAGCCTTACCAACACTATCTCATAGCTCCCCATCATGATTTTTACTCCGCAACACGGGAAGAGCAAGGCTGCTCATGGATGTACACGTGATTTCAACAAAGGTGTGGCTGTTCCTCAATGCCACATGAACATCACCCCCCCCACACACAGGGGCTGGTTCATGGAACAGCCATCCCAAAGACAATGTTTCCAGCTTCCTAAAAAACAGAAGCAGGGAAGAGAGAGTGGGGCTCCTGTCAGAGCCACTGTAACAGACACCCGAAGTTCTCATGCTGGGGACTCACCGGATGGAGGTTTACAGACTGTTGGTGGTTGTGAAAGCTTCTCCTGATGTGAGGATTTCCAGTTTCTATTACTCAGCAGCTAACACAGAGCCCACACAGAGCTGACCACAAACTAACAGAGGGAAACACAAAAACACAGCCTCCCAGTCCCACACAGAGCAGGAACAGAGCTTCTTCCATCTTCTGCAGCTTCTTCCATTCTTCAGCAGATCTGAAAAGTCTGATCCAGGTCACCATCTAGTGTTTCCCCTGCCTATCCAAACTTATCACCTCTGCAGTACTCAACTACTGCACACCCCAAAAGCCACAAAGGGCTGTCAAGCAACAGCTGAGTGAGATGGCAAGGAGGAGAGCCACTCAGGAGCACCGTCTGGAAAGAGGAGAGCTGGAATCTGCATGCCAAGCCAACAGGCCCAGTGTGGAGCCGGAGCTGCTGCTGCTGTATTTCCTGACCTCGTGGATTTTCTCCTGTAGCGAGAGGGCTCCTGGCTCCCATTCAAAGCTGTCTAGGAAAGACTCGCCGAGTGCCTCCGCCTGGCAGCAGCAGCTGCTCCCAGCCCAGTAGCCAGAGCCACACAGCTCTAGCAAACAAGAAACATCTGCCAGCCTTGTGCAGGAAGCGGGAAGAGCAAGCAGCCAGCCTTGGTGGACACCAGCATCCTACCTTTGGGTGAGGGCAGAAGGCACATCATCTCCCCTGCCTGCGCATGCTGGGAAGCAGCATGGAGGCCTTGCCCACAGAAACAAGGACCAAGATGCTTGGCACAAGCTTTCACTGGGCTAAGATCTAAAGCAGGTCTAGGCACCAAGGCTACAGGTGTTACCTAGAGATGCAGCTGTGTCCCACAAAAAACAACCTAATCTTCATGGCTCCAGTTCTCCAGCAGAGAGAGGTGGTTTGGGGGACCTGACTGTGAAGCCTCCAGAAACTTACTCGCCAAAGGGCAGGAACTCGAGGGGCTTGACCCCCATCAGTACATCACATCATACCACCGCAGTTTCAACAGCTCAGGTGTCAAGTGAGAGGAATATGCAGTGGGTCTCCAGCACGTTCCCCATGAGGGAGCCTCTGACATCCCTTCCACAGAATAACAGAAGGAGCTTTCTCTGTGTCCTCTGTTTCCTCCCATCACCTTGTGTCTCTCCCAGGATGGACACCAAGCCAACTAAACAAGTCAAGAGACAGATTTTTGTGCAGCACAGCCATACTGAGGCCAGCCATGGCAGAAGTTTGACAACTGTTCATTACTGAACATTCACCTTCTACCTGTCCACTGGGAGTCTCTGCATTTAAAGGCATTGGAAATTAGTTCTGATTCTGCAAATCTCTTTGGGCACATCTCAGACCAGGCATCCTTTCCTCCAAAGCACAACCCAGAGGAACTGAGGAGCCCTATGACCACAAATGCCACAGCATTTGATTTCATTTCCATTCAGGAGAGATGCCCTGCAGGCAGAAATGGTCTGCAATTCTGCAGGAGAACAATACCCATCTCAGCCTTTTACAGCAGTCAATTCCAGCCAGGAATCCTACTTCAGTGATTTTTAAGCATTGAAAAAGCAAACCTTGTTGGCTTATCCCGGTGACTGTCCAGGTTCCTTGGTTTGCTCATGCACAAGACTGTCATCAGCATCACAAAACACAGCCTCTGGAGGGACTGAAGGAACCTCTCCAGTGCTTTGAAATGCCACCTTTTATTTTTACT